AAATTCTTGGAGAAAAATTCACCCATATATTAAAATGACATATATATCCCTATATTAAGATGGCACAGATTCCTGTGAATAGGAATTTCAAGCCATTGTCTTTGAGTTGAAAAGATAAACCCTAGGCAAGTTTTTGGAGAACAGCTGGTCCTTCATGGACTACTCCTTGTGGTGATTTCTTCTTTAAGAAGCTAGCACAGTAGTAACTGTGAGCACCCCAGAGAGCACAGTACCTCTCATCTCCTTTAGCAGTTCTCTTTAGAGAAAGCAGAAATAAGCAGCAGCTTGCTTCACCCAGGAACTAGAAAACAGCTTACTAGAATGGCTAGAGAACTGATAAAATTAGAAAAACAAAGCAGCAAAAGGCCTTGGCTCAATGGTATTAATTTTAAACTGTCTGCCTCTTTGAAGTAACTAGTCTTGAATCAGTTTATGAGCTTCAGCCAAGGCAAACATGCACGTCAGTTTAGGAGTTTTGCTTCAGAGCAGCACATTAATACTCTGTAAGGAGATGCAGGGCATGTAGCAGACCTTTTCTTTATCAGGAGCCCTAATCATCTCAAATCTCTCTTGTTCATTGTTAGCAAACCCTGCTGCCTTGAGTGCATCAGATGTATGAGCTGTTTTATACAGTGCTTAGACTTACACTGCAAAAACTACAGAGAACGGATCCTCTTCTCCAGCAAATGCACCACAAAGAAGTACATGAGCTCCGAGGCTGGCCTTGTCCCTGCCTAGCATGTGCTGCTTCTACCAGCGGAAAACTACAGCTAACACATCCCTAACCCATTGCTATCTATAGCTTCTCCGTCTCCCAGAGACTAAACAAATTCAAAACACTCTTCACAGAAGCTGGTCAGTAAAAAGGACAGATATCAAAGGGATTCCCTGAACAGAGCAGTCAATCTCAACAGTAACAGTAGGTTTAGTTAGGAAAGCCCTTGTCTTTCTACCACCTTCATATACTTTCTGAAAGTGTTAGGAGATGAGCACTGGCTCAAACTCAGCTTCTTATCCCTACAGCTAGCTTTTTAATGAGTAAATCCTTGCTCTTACCACAAGAATTAGACCCAACGCTGGATTACCCATATAAATTCTTCGCAGTTAGGCAGATGTGCGCTCACACTTAATGTCGTGGAACTGACTGTGTATTTGTTTTTTTCTCAATTTTCCCTATTTAGAGTAGCTAATAAGCAGGACATGCCTCCTCTCAGAACAGGAGTGAAGAAGTAAAAATTGGATACAGTAAAAAACCTATTCAGTCAGAGACTGCTACCTCTTCTATTATTACACAGGTAATATGCAGGTGGCATTGCAGTGGCAGTAAACCCCTAGTGCTCCACGTAACAGTTAGTTACTGTCACACACTGCCTGCAGTACTTGTATCAGGGAAATGGTATTTGGTGTAACTACAGGCTTCCCCCAAGCTGTTTGTCATGGAGTAGTACCTGTGGTGACCTCTGTGAGAAACCAGGACAATAGCAGCTGTGAGCACCCATGCCAGAGACCGCTCTCCATTCCCTTAGCAATTCTCTCTGGTAAAGGTATGAGTGAGCAGCAGCTTGTGCTACCCTTTCAACACCTCTGTGACCACAGGTGGAAGAAAAAGGAATCATGTATTGCTGCTGGTGACAATTCATTCCAAGGTGCCTTTAGGAAGTAACTACACAAGGGAGAGCTCTGTGGCAGCTACTTCAGAGCTACAAGTTAGTTACAGCGCTGCTTGCTGTAGCTTAGTTGAAGGTCAGCTGTAGCACCACTGTTGAGTTAAGCACAACAAAGCTGGAGAAAATGGAGTACGTTTTGCCAGTTTAGCTTGTGATGGACCTCATGCCACATCTTCCTGGGGACTGTCACAAACACGAGGACACAACACCTTCAGCTACCTAAGTTTCTCTTGTTGTCAGTCTTGTTGCCAGATGGAGCTTACAGCTCCATCAGTTTAGGGAATTCATCAGACAGAAAAGAATGATGTTTAGGCACGATATCAAAATGACACACAGCAGCTTAATCAAAGGTTGGTTTGGGCTTTAATGCTCTGGAAATAGCAGCCAATTCTGAATTCAGCAGAGGTTTCACAACTACTTAATCTTGCCATTCATAGCCAGGAAATATTAACATCACTTAACATCTCATCTCTGTCTGGGGAACTTGGCTGGTTAGAGAGGAGAGGATGGTGACTGTGCCACAGTGACGTTCACCCAGGTGACAGTGAAATCCTGTCCTTTTGCACTTTTCTAGGGTTCCTGGGGACAATCTCCATCTTGGTTTGTTCATTTTTATTTCTTGCATGATAGAAAGACACAAGCTCTGGCCAAGCAGAGGGCTGAGCTAGTAACTTTCTCCATGCTGGGAGACTCCCACATTAGAATATATTCTAGGCATGTTCAGCTTCAATACCAAATGTGCAACCTAAAAAGAAAAAGAGTGTGTCCTGCAGTATTGGTCCACATTGGTCCAAATGGTCTTCCAGAAGGAGGGCTTTCCTTCTTTGGAGAGCAGTTTGAGTCAATATGGAGCAGGGAATGAAGACTGCAGGCCAAATCCTTGTACTGAACAAGAAGAGGTTACACAAAGCATTTTGATGTTCCCATACATGAGTCACTGAACTGGTACTGAGCATAATTAAGTGTGAATATACTGCTGGAGGCAAATGCTTTTGTTGCATTAGCTGTTTCATAAGTTCACTCCTCTTCCTCTTCTCTGTAGATCCTGTGGTTCCATTTTTAAAAATGTTCATGCTCCTGAAGGCATTTAACTAAACTAGCAGTTTAAGGGTTAGTACTATTTTCAGCACATAGGGCAGGCTGAGACTTTAAGCAGATTTATTCTTTTCATGGCTTATTCTTTCAGGATGGGCGGGGCCCAACCTGAGGTTGGTGTCTTGTCCTTAGCTGAGAAGAATCTACTAATATTCTACTATTCTAGTCACAAGGAAAAATTCTTATATAGTCTCACTTTTAACTGTGCAGTAGCTGGGGGTTTACTTTGGAAATTACAGAGTCATAGAAAACTGTGCTGAAAGGGACCTTATAAGATGGTCTCTCTCTCTTTGTCCTGAGGCAGCTCATATATCCTAGACCTCTTCTAACAAAGGCTCATCTAACTTTATTTGAAAATCTCTAATGATGAAGATTCCATACTGTCTTTAGGCAATCTGTTTCAGTCCTTTGCTATCTGGAGGACAAGAGTTTACCCTCAGTCAATTTTGATTAATTCTTTGTTGTGCAGTAAAGCTTGAAAAGGAGACTGAACACATGAATATAAGAGTTGGAAAGTAGAAGGGACATCCCGCATCAAGTCCAATTTCCTACTGTTAGAGGCAACCACGTCAGATAAAGTCTTTCCTGCCTATGTATCAATATTTAAACTAGTTGGGCTTCTTCCCTCAATTGCTCAAATGAAATTCTGCCTAAGAACCTCACCTTCCTCATAGTTAAGATTATTTCTGTCAAGTTGAACCATGAAATTAGAAGAGCATTATAAAGCCTGTGAGATAAATTCCTGGGTTTATACCATGCAGACAGCATTTTACAAAGTGCCAAAAGATTTGCTTGCTAAGAGACATGGCAAAATCTCAAATGTGAAAGGTAAATCCCTTCTGAAAATTACAATCTCTCCTGAAACAGATGATGATGCTTCTGATTTCCCACAGTTGTGTCCGAGATCTCACAGAAAAATCCACCCTTCACCAGGACAGCAAGAGATGCTCCTAATCTTCATGAGAACTACATCTGAGAAAGGAGAGTGATACTGGGCTCAGGATACAAGACAAAACTGATTCTTCTAAAAGAATTCCTAGAAAGCACAAAAGAAGGAACACAGGGACTGGGTGGAAGGAAATCAAAACAAAGAAAACAAGAAAAACTAAGACTGAATTCAGTGGAATGGGAGAAGCAAGTTTTTGAGCTGGGGCAAGAACACTTTAGATTAGAGCTGGCTGGTGCTCTTAACTTTTGTGATCCCCTAAATGTTTAACATGAAGGACAAGAGTAACTGTTAGACATGGTGGTTCTCATCTTTACTAATATTATAACTGACATTTCAGTCTATATCTGCCAAACCCAACGTATCAAGGTATCCTTGAAGATATGAAATGGCATGAGGTACCTGTGTTTAGGTATCTGAATTCCACTCCTCATGACACACCAATGAATTTACCCTCCAAAGAATAAAGCCTCACATAATTTTCCATTACATAAAGTCAGAATTTTTGTCCTTGTCCTGCACCAGCTGTGTCAAATCAATTGGAAGAGCTTGTAGGTTACAATCTTATGCCATGGTAAAACTCTGCTTGCAGAATGCCATGGCCCTATGGACAGGACAATACTTCCAGACAGGGCCTGCAGGGGTACTGAATATTATCAATGAAGTCTTAAATTCAAAATGAAAGTAATTTAAACCAGCACTGAGCCATAGCCCTCACAGAAGAAATGTATTTTTTTTTTTCCAAACCCATAGCTCAAAACGAGTCAGCTTGATTACCTTCACTTGGGCCAGGAGACTAATCATGGGATACTATTTATATTTTATTTCCGCACTGAGCCCTAGCCCCCACAGAAAAAAAGTATTTTTTTTTTTTCCAAACCCATAGCTCAAAACGAGTCAGCTTGATTACCTTCACTTGGGCCAGGAGACTAATCATGGGATACTATTTATATTTTATTTTAGGAAAGTCAGAGAGAGCATTAGAATAACAATCCGCATGGAAACCAGGTTATAGTCATAACATAGTGTAACTACTATAACTTAATAAAAACAGAGAACTAGGAACCTTCTCTACTAATAGGCTTTGCTTTTTTTTTTTTTAAATGTGTCTCCTCTCCAATGAGAAAAGTTATTAAATACATGTGAGACTCCAATCCAGAGAGCAACTGTCCAGCTCAGTTACTGGTGGGGTGACAGATCAGAAAGTTTCACCTCCTCCTTCTCCTCACAGCTGCCCCGCACACATGCGCACACACACAGAGTCTGGGAAGCTCCACACCTATAGCACCTACCTTGGGTTTGAAGGCGATTAATTTCAGGACCATCTCAACAGTGAAGAGGCCAGTGAAGAGCATGTTGAGGATATTCATAGCTTCCTTGAACATGCAGCTCTGACCGTAGTGCTGAAAAATAGGCATCCCAGTAGCAGTGTGAAGAATGAAGGTACCAGCTACTTACGATTCCACAGGGTGCCTACTAATCTCCCTTGATGTCAAGGTTCTCTAAAGAAAACCCCAACGTGCTCCATTTTTTCAGTTTATAATCCCTATCTCTCTTCACACACAAGCATTTCCGTACCTCTAGTCATTTCTGCCATTTGGCTCTGGATCGCTTCTCTTTATAAAAAAACTTTTTGAGTGGGGGGTTATTGCACTTATCATTCCAGTTGAGGGCTCATAAATTTGCATAATGGTACAAGTCAGTCTCCAGTTGTGTTATCCCCCCCTTTCCTAATACTTAGACTACTTTTTTTGTTTGACTGCTACTGCACAGTGAATGGGGGGGGTTTCACTGAGCTGTTCATAATGATACCAAGCTCTTTCCCAAGTAATCACATTTAATGCAGGATCCTGCAATGTACATAAGCAGACCAAATCATATCTTTCCAATATGCATTATCTTGCCTTTGTCAACTCTGGATTACACTTGCAATCATGCTGCCCATTCACTTTGCTTTATTAAGATCTAATGAAGTTACACTTTGTCTTCTCTTAATTAATCCAAACAGTGTCTTCTGCAAATGTTGCCACCTCACTCTTCATTTCCCCTTTTCCAGATCATTATACTTGGGACTGATTGCATTGCCTTATACTTAGGTCATCTTCCAGTTTGTATAATAAAGCCCTTTTCTGAGTTGCTTAACTTTGCTAAACTTTAACCACCCGGGATGAATTTTCCTATTCTGAATCGGCTCCGGATAATTTATTTATTTTTATAATAAATAACTAATTTATTATTTTAATAATGTATTTATAATTATTTAAATAAATAATTTAAATTTAATAATGTGGCTTTTGTGTTTGCTACAGCATGTTTGCTGTCCCTTATGAAATTTAACACAAATCTGACCAAGCTATACACCTTTGAAACACCTGTACTTTTTTCAGGATGGATACAGACTTCCTAGACTCTTCAAAGATTCTGTCCTGCCTATGGATTCACAAACTTCTCACATCTTCCAGCTCCACCTGCTCTGTGCATGCACCACTATCACAGCAATTGAGTATGCTCCAAAGCTTCAGAGTGAACAAAATAGTCACTCTACCTGGCTTCATGATAGCATGGCAGTAGATACTTTAGCTGAGAGCAGAGCGCTCTTTCTTGCGCTTGGGCTGCCTCACTCCTTTGTTGATACCTTAGGCAAGACAGAAGAGGGAGCCTTTTCAAAAAGGAGGGGAAAGAGCTAGACCAGATGAAGGGAAAGAATAGAGGAGACAAGAAACCTGGTAAGACTGGACTCCCACACTGAGAGAAAGTAAGGCGAATGGGAATGGAGAGTGAGAGTGGAGACTTAGATTGGTAGTGAGTGACAAGAAAGTGGGGCTAATTTTTATGGAAGGCTTGGGGCTGGGCAGACTGGGACTGATCCAATGGCAAATGTAGTGGTGGGATGCTAAGGTCAAAAGAGAAGTTGGTGTAGGAGGGGAAAGAATGGAGCAGGCTGGAGAAGGGCACGGGGAGCAGGACTCCGAGTAAGGGATGAAATAGAGTCAGGAACAAAGTGTATTGAACAATGAAATGGAAGGGGAGTGTGGCAGAGAGAGACTGGAAAGGAGGTCCATGGAGGGATAACTGCAACTGGGAGTCTGTGCAGTGAGGAGAAGGACTGGTTGAGGAATGGGGATCTCGGACTGTCTGTGCCACAGACTGAGGAAAGGAGTTCAGAGACAGATTGGAATGACTGGGCAAGGAGAAGGGATGAGGTTTAGGGAGGAGAGTGACGGGCAGTCTAGTTCTTAAACAGTCAGAGTGTAGAGGAGAATGGGACTCCAGTGGCAGAGGAAACTGAGCCTGGGGAGATGGGCTTAATAGATGGAGTTTGGGACTGACTGAACATGGAAGAGGAGGTGAGAGAGGTCTTGGGCAGAGACATACTTGAAGGAACAAGATGGAAAAGGACAGATTTGGGGAAATCTACCCAAATGTACCCTGGGTATCTACCAGGACCTATTCCTTGACTGAAAAGAACTTAATTTTTACTTTTTGCAAGCTGGCCACTTATTAAAGATTGTATCTTCTTCCCCTTTACTGTTGTTCCACTCTGCACATGTTAATCTGCTACTGCTATCTGCTATTCTTGCAGACCCAGCAGCAAATGTTTGTTCAGTAGATTCACATTAGATGTCTGGAAAACCTTCTCACAGTAAGGAAAATAAGTGCACAAGTGTATGGGGTAGATAAGGCAACCAGTAGCATCACTAGTGAAGCAAGTTAGGCAAACATCTGTAAAGAAACGCTTTAGGTGGAGCTGATCCTGCCTTGAGGTGATGGGATATAAAATACGGCCTCTGGAGGTACTTTTTAGCCAAGTTTCTATGGGTCTTAATAAAGAATAAAAGAGATGCTAGGGATTGCCTGCCTTCTATCTCCATTTTCCTTATTTACCTTGTTTGCCCACATATTTGGTCTCTGTTTTTTTAATGTAGAAAAGCCCAAAATGTAAACTTCAGATCTCAGGTGAATCGCAGTTCATGGCCTGTTCCTACTTTGTAGAGAATACAAGTCAGAATTGAGAAGCCACTTGTTCTTAGAGTGGCCACTGAATTGGTCTGTGATATAACTGTTGGATTTTTTGTTTTTAAACAGGATAAATAGAATTGTTGAAAGCGTCACGCATTAGTGGGAAGAGAAGGAGAGGCAGATTCAGGATTCTAACTAAATGTCATCCTGAGTGAACATGGTACAACACCTTTTATCTTGTCCCTCTCCCTCAGTGCATGGTGTGAAAATGCAAGCTGGCCTCAACCTCTGCTGTTTCTACATTTTCCCCAGCAAGGTCTCATAACTTATCTCCTGTGAGGTTTTATGCTTGCATACTTACTTCAGCAGGATCAGAACGAACATCAGGTACTCAAAATAGGTGGAGTTCACCACATACCAGACTTTGTATTGGTACTGGTTTTTAGGGATGTACCTCCGCAGGGGCCTGGCCTTCAAGGCATATTCTACACACTGGCGCTGTGAAAGAGGTAGGGTAGATTTAAAAATTAGAAACAAAATACAGGGTTGGTCAGCTGCCTCCAAAAATAAAAAACAGTAAGTTCAAGTTGTTTACTGAAATGACAATGCTTGGAAGAAAAATTTCTTTTATATCATAATCTGAATGCATCTATTTTAACTATCAAATAGATCCATAGGTATTTACTTTGGCCAGACAACGTATTCACATTCATCTAACTAATGTCAGTGAGCCAAATGATACAGCACACACTTTAAAGTAGATGCTTTTCCTTTGTGCAAATCTTAAAGAGAGATTTTTTTTTTACCTGATTCCTGAAAGATGGCAGTATAGCCAGCTTAGTGTTTTAGATTGTTGGCAGTCCTCACCTGTTCCTCTGTGGATGTATGTTCTCTTTCAAACATTTATTGTCAAGGTATTTCTTATCTTTGGTGGAAAGAGGAGTGGTAAATTACCTGGTTTTTGTCCAGCTCACAGTTCTTATATTCTTGTTCTCCTTGTTCCTGAAATGTGACGATGACGAAACCAACGAAGATGTTCATCATGAAGAAAGCAATAATGATGATGTAGATAATAAAGAAGATGGAGATCTCAACCCTGTGATTATAGATGGGTCCCACATCCTCCATGTGGGAATCAATGGACCTATATAGCAACCTGAAAGCAAACAGGAACTCAATGCAGAGAAGACCTGCAACTGTCACGAGGCCTTATAGGTGATGTCATAAGACTCAGATCTGCTATTTTTCTTCTGCTTGTACCAGAATGTTTTCACTTGCAGATGTGCAGACTTTCACTGATCTAAATGTAAGCTTTTGCAAAAGAGAAGGCACAGCTCTTATTAACTTTATACATTTTAACCTGTTCAGAGGTGAAGTGTATTCATTGTTGAACAATTAGAAAGTTAAAACAGATATATTCCTTCATTTAACAAAAAACTGAAGAGAGTGGGTTACTGGGAACTGAGTTCTGAGAAGGAAGGGGATTGCAGCGATTTTAATACTTATTCACACTGCAGCTGGCATCATCCAGTGACATAGCTCTGGGGCAACCCCATCATACCCTGCACACCCACGTCACACTGACAGAACGGAGCGGTGGAAGCCCTTGGCCCCTGTGGCACAGACAACATAGCCTGATGAGATATCCTATGTCTGCCCATACTGCAGAGATAGCAGTGATGCATTTCATATTAGCCTGCTGGCTCCACTGGGGAACTTGCAACATCTAGCAGTACTCGTAAGTCAGTATTAGTATCAACATTGAGTATTTGCAGTAACAAATATTGCTATCAAGAAATTGCTACTGTACTACTGTGTGTTACTGTACTACTGGAAACTGTTTCTTAAGAGCAAGAGAGGTGCTGTGCACTGTGGACAAGTACAGGAACAGCAATTCCTCTAGGCCCTTAGGAATTTACAAAGGTATATAATACTACAGTGACTGCCGCTGCTGCTATTGCTGCCTTTAATGCTCTAGACTTTTAAAAATATTCTGCATTTGAATTTCCTCTTTAGAAATGAATGAGAGCATTGCCAGCAGTGCACCCCAGCTGCTGGGGTCCAAGAAGCACTCACTCTGGCCAGCCCTCAAACGTTGAGACAGTGAAGAGGGCCATCATGGCAGTCAGGACGTTGTCAAAGTCAAACTTGCTGTTCTCCCAGCTTCGGGGCTGGATCATTGGCTGGTTGACTTCACCATCCTTGTATGTAATGTAGTACCCCCTGTGGTTGGAGAACAGACCAAAAAGATGGCACAATTGCACTTTTAGTACCGGACCCTGAGAGCAGGCAGCCAGTAAAAGGGGCTAATCGGGAAAGGTCAGACTCACCTGCATTCTGCCGCTGTCTGCTTGGAGCTATCAGTGCAGCTGTACAGTTTGCCCTTGAGGAAGAAGAAAGAAGAATGAATCTTCCTTTCCTGGAAGGACTTTCCTTTCCTTTCCTCGATTGTGCAAGGGTTAGGGCAGGTCATGGAGCAAGGAGGCTGCATTTACTACTTGCTTAACAATATGAGTATGTTTACATGTGCTTTTGCACGCAGATGTGACCAAGCGGATTGAAAGTTGTCTGCATCTGGGTAGTTCAGAGCACAGGCTTTCATCTGCCTGCACAGAACTTTTCTGTGTGTTTCAGTGAATGTCCACTGAGTGCTGCAGAATACTAGTTTCCAGAAGGGTGATGAAGGGCAAAAAAATAAAAATAGACCTTAAGAAGTGAATTAAGAACCTCCAGATGATCATCTGGCGTGGCCCTTCCTCTATTAGATGGGAGGTAGGCAGTCTGCAAGTCCAAATCCTTTAGAACAGCCCCCTTCACCTCCCTGACACTGAGGTTATGCCACAAACTATTTGGGGAAGGGGAGGGTGGACAACCTTACTGTTGGTTTCTTATGTTTATAGATGAAATGCAGGAATTCATTCATGTGCCTGGTTCACTTTGGGGGAATTTGTAGTAGCAGGAGCCCAGGTAACAATGATAGTGCTGCATATGTTTTGTCTTTCACAAGGGAAGACTCCATCTCCCCTTCCATAGGCTTCTTCATGCTATTCCCACCCTAGAAGACAGCTCAGTGTGATGGATGAATGAATGAGTCCAATGGTTTTACCTTGAACAACTGAACTCCAATGCAGGCAAACATGAACTGCAGCAAAGTGGTGACAATCACAATGTTTCCGATGGTTCGGATGGCGACAAACACACACTGGACCACATGCTGCAAATGGAAGATAGGAACAAGAGTAACTTGTAGGATTGTTCTGAGCTGCTTTGGCTAGGGGAGAAGCCCGTGACTAGAACAACAAATAAAAGGATCTGATTTAACTAGTACTATTAAGTAATGTCTCAGGAAAGAAAACTGACCCCTTTTACATTCTTCATTGTACTCTCAGAAGCAGGCAAAAAGGGATAGAGGAATACCAGAGCTCAGCTCTTTAGTATGTCCAGCAACGCATCCTTACATAGCTGGGCACCCACCAGCCCACAGAGGGGAATTTAGCCAATAGTGCAAGGGTGGAAGAATTAAAGTAGGCTCATGAGCCCATCTGTAACCCTAGCAAACTGCATCATTTGACCTTAGTGGTGATCCTTAAAACAGCACTAGAACTGTTGTAAAGGTCCTAGTAGCCTGAAAAAAATTAACTTTGTAGCTTACAGAATGCATTGGGACTCTTCTAACCTTTAGGCCTTTGGCTCTGTTGATGGCCCTCAGTGGTCTGAGCACTCGCAGAACACGTAGGATCTTCACCACATTGATAGCGCTGGACCTGGAAGAAAGTATGAAAAGGTCAACTTTGAGAGATATAGCGATATGAGGGAGGGACATGCTGTAAGGGGCAGGTGGATTTCACCCACTCATTCTCATTTGAAATCCCAGCCTTAGACTGTTTAATGCACTTACAGAGTTAGCTCTTTGCTACCTGCTATGGCAACTGAAGGCACTGGTTGACTGGGGTCAGAACTCAAACCCACCTGCTTCAAAAGCAAATGCTGCTTTTGTTAACACAGACTCTTTCTAGCTGTTTGCAATTTACAGCCTATGGCTCACAGATGATCGTGTCTTTGATTTTAGCTACAAGAAAATGTATATTCTTACTGATCGGTACACTACCAAACATTTCATCCTCATGTAAGAAACCCTTTAACATGAGTAAATATATGATGTAGACACATTAGCAATGCTAATGGCATATGTACAAAGAGGATATATTTTATCTTTGCAATTTTAAATGTTTGAAAAATGTCTATGGAGGAGAGCTGCCATTCTAGGCATTTTACAAAGGACTGTGATGGGGGTGAGGAAACCATTCTCTGGAGTTTTTTATGTAGGTCTTACTTCCTGATCTGTGGAGGCTCAGGATACATTTGCCTGGTGTTCACTATCCCTGTTGTATTAATGAAGGGAATGGAACATGGTCAGAGTTTTTCTAACCAGGGCAAGTTGCCAAATACTCTGTAGATATCTAATGGAAACTGTGCCAAGATGTAGTCATCACAAGTCATTTTAAGATAAGGCTCAAAGAAGCACTCTGCTGAAATGTTAATAGAAGAAAGGAAACTCCAGGTGACTCTGGCATTTAAAGGTATACCATCCAGCTGGGTTTGATCCTGCAATGTATTGGCCTCTGATCCAGCAAATCAATAAGAGTGTACATAACTTTAAGGATGTGGAAACTCCCACTGAATTAATTAAGGTTACTTATGTGCTTAATTTTAAGTTCATAACAGAACTGTCTGCTACAACAGGGATAGAACTCCCTGCGTCTTCGAAGACTGACACTCTGACCAAGAATTTTCTCCATGCTGAATGACATCAGGCCCTCCTACTGATTTTAGCAACAAGCTTCTTTTGCTAAAGCCTAGCTAGGTCTGTAAGAACAAAACAGCAGGCCAAGATGAGCACTGAGCCATTCTTAAGATCATGACTGAAAGCCTAACGAACCTGATCCTTCTGCTTGACTCAAGTGAGCTCTGGAACATATCATACATGAACTGCTAATCCATAATGGGAACAATTGGGAGCTAGTTTCTTATCAGGTGTGCTGTTATTACTTCGGAAACACCTTATCCAATGCATAGAGCTCTATAGAGTCAAGTAAATTTATAAATTTATTAAGTAAATTATCAGATCAACCAATACAAAGTGGAAGTGACAGAAGTAGGAGCAACTGCCACTGCCACCACTGCTCTGAGGATTCCTACACAGCTCTTCCAGTGCTTGATTATATTTCACTGACCAAGACTCTTAGGGAGTAGCAAAATGTTATCACCTCATTTTCCAAAGAGGTAATGAGAGCTCTGGGAAGAAACACTTAAGTCTTTTAACTGTCCTGAACTGATACAGTAACTCAGAGATCTTGGAACAAAGCTGCGTGTCATGATTCCAAATGGACCAAGTTTCTTGTTCTCATTTGCTCTTTCTGGGAGATCCGGGTCATCAGTGTAGTATATGCAAATCGCTATCTCCCCTCATGAGGATGAATTCTAATGTCTCCTGAATCATCTGGGAAGAATACTTTTAGGCTGGGAAGAATACTTTTAGAGAAATCCTGCCCAGATAAGACAAAGAGACTGAGGTATTATCCCCCATCCCAACCCTACTATCCGGAAAAATCAACCAGTTGAAAACAGCTCACTCACTGGATCCCAAAGGAGATGAGAGAAACGCTGACCACCAGCAGGTCTAAAATGTTGAAATAGTTCCTGCAGAAGGAGCCCTTATGGAGGAAAGCCCCGTAAGCAGTCATCTGCAGGGAGGCACACGAAGACAAAAACACACTTTGCCATTAGCATCTGTTCAGAAATCAAGCCTAACTGGTTGTGCTCAGACTGTATATGTGGGGAGGGGCAGTATTTCTTACATAGCATACAATTTACCCCCAGACCCCAAAGGAGAAGTTGAAAAAGAAAGAGTGAAGAAGACAGTAGGATAACTGTAAGAGAACTAACTAGGGAAAGCCAATGTTAGGTTCAGTGACGGAAAGGGTGCTCACATGGACTCTCTGGTCCTTTTTTCTCTGCACTGTCAGTGCATAGTATACATAATCCTTGGAATCAGCAAAGCAGCGTAATGACTGTTTGCAAAAACTAATTTTTGCAATCATATGCTTTTCCCTTTATCTTCAGTGGCAGAGGACACTTGGGAGTACTGTATTACATAAAGGCCTCTTTGGCTAAATTGAATGAAAATATGAAATAAAAGGCACTCTTCTATGATGTTTTCCAAAGATTAAACCAGCTGCAGTGGTCAGTTGAGCTTTCATCCCTCTGAATAAGGAAAGACAGAATCCCTCAGGGATCTCATGCTTAGGAGTACAGCTGAAGCAACAGGAGGAATTCCCGTTCTCTTCAGTTTGCTCCTTCTATTCAGCTCAATTGTGTTCAGTCAGTTCTCCTACCCCCATCCAGTTTCCTCTGTCTTTATTCTAGAAGAGAAGTGGTTGCATCTTCCCCTTGATTTTTCTTTGCAAAGCTCAAGGTAAGATTCCTTGACACAGAGAGGCCTCTTTGTGGAGGTAATCATTATGAGCACCGTATACTTGGGGAATGGAAACCAGTGCTTATATTTTCTGCAAGGGCCTCTCTGCCCTGCTGGGTGTGCTCTGTTGAAGGGGATGTCACAGCTCCAGAAATGGATTAAGTGACAATGGAAATGGAAGTGGGTTTTCCCACTTCTGAACTCAGGAAAGCCAAGGTCCTAACTTTCAATTTTAGGCTGAGCTCTATTTCAAAATATGAATAGATATGTCTGGCATGTCAATATCTCAAAGAGGGTGAGGTGATAAAGATATTTGTGCCACCTACCTTAGCCTTGGTGAGTGATCTGATGCAGCTGCTTTGAGTACCCCTTAACCCCACAATTGCTAATCTTACTACATTACCTGCATTGGGAATATGGGCTTCTAAATTTGGTCCTCTGCATCTCGTGTAAGTTAGATGCCTAAAGTAACTTGAAGCAGACAGCATGAGACTATTCCTCAATGATCAGCTCTAGCCAGGCTCTCCCAACTAGAAACATGAACTAGAAGTTCAAATTGGAGTTCTCTAGTTCCTGCCAATAGCTCAGGATGGCATACCTGCTGGTGGTTTCCAGCCATATCTACCTGTGATAATTTCAGTGAGAGTGAAAGAGCACATGATATATCAGATTACTTTTTTCACCGAACATCCATGACATCAGGGAACCAACTATCAACCAGTCAGACAGAACTTAGAAAGGGAGGAAGTATAAACTCTGGTCCTGGCTTAGAATTTATACTTATAGACACATTCGATTGGGGGAGTGGGGGGAAGTTCTTGCCATAACAAAGTTGGTAAAGATGCCCTTTAGTGGTTATGTTTTGTATGGCAATCTTGAAAGAAAGGAGACACCATTGAAATCAGGAGGGGAATCTCTGTTGAGTTCTGTACAAACTGTGGTTCTCTCATGTGTGTTGGGAGATTTTGTTACCTTAGGAGAAGCTCTCACAGAGTGTACAATCTATGCCTGCCTTCCACCTGGGGCACTGAAAAAAACTTAGAATGCTATTTGAAACTAAATCATAATTATCTTCAGTGGTATGTTCAAAATACTGCTAAGGTAGTTATCTTGCTAACATTCATCAGACTCCATCATGTCAGTGTGAGGCTTGCATGTGTCATCAGCAACACTATAGCTTTGGTTTTAAATGCTGCTGCTGCTGGGGTGTGTGCCTTGTTGCTAGACCATTTGGTGTCTGCATGTTCGGACTGATTGTGGAAACACAGAGGCACACTGGATTGAGCGTGACAGCAGAACACGTACATCACTTGGGAGCACATTCTGGCTCTGGTGCTTTAAAATCACATCAAAAGCACACCTCTCTACAAAAATATGCAGCGGTCTCCCTGCTTGCCGGCCTGCTGTTTGGATACTGTTATTAGAGGCTTGAGCTGCAAGATCAGAGCAACTCTAAGGAGAACGCTGCTGCCTGCCAGCACTTAGAACCATCTTGCTGAGAAAAAGATCAACCTGCCAAGTGAACCCAGCATTTGGAAAGCCAGAACTTTGCTCAATTACTGTTATTTAAATTATTAGCCTAATAGTTTGGGAAAATCAGAGTTAAGAACAAGGCAGCCTATTTTTATTTGCTTCCCAGCTAAACCATTCTCCAGCATATTTTCTTTGGTACAGGGCATGTTCCTGGGAAATCTGAAGCCAAGTTTCAACCAGGTAGCTCAGTAATTTTCATTCTCAGCTACAGTCCTTCATGTTTCAGTGATTTGTACTCTCAGTTCCCTCACCACACCTAAAAAATGAGCTTCTGCACTGAGCTCCCTGGTAGAACCACTTCCTATCTCCCATTCAGCTGTGCGCACTGTAACCTGCGTAATGTAAGTCACTGGCTCCCTCTGGTCTAGTGTCATGACTTTTGCAGAACTGATACCTTCTCTTTCAGTTGTAATACGCAGAAGAGGAAGTGCATGTGCTCAGGGTTCTTTGTACAGCAAACAAAGCTGGTTTTGGAAAGACTGGCCAGGATGGAGAGAGTAAATTTCTAGGGTATTGGCTTTTTTCTTGGTCCTCTCTTACTTTTCCCAATCCATCCTTTCACTGTGATTCCCCAAAAGAGCATTGGGCTGATATTGGCTGTCTATTACTAGTTTAAATATCAAAATTTCACAGAAGACTTCTTACATAACTATCAAAAGGATAAAATCAAAAGATAAACAGTCCTGTGTGTAGAGATAATACTGGAATACAAAGTGATACAAGAGAAAAAGTGAGAGAAAGTGAGAGAGAGAGGAAGAAAGGAAGGAAGAAAGGAAGGAAGAAAGGAAGGAAGAAAGGAAGGAAGAAAGGAAGGAAGAAAGGAAGGAAGAAAGGAAGGAAGAAAGGAAGGAAGAAAGGAAGGAAGAAAGGAAGAAGTGTATTGCTCAGATTGGTTACCTTAAGAATAATTTCTAATGTAAAGATACTAGTGAAGACATAATCTGCATTGCCTAGGATCTGAAAAATAAGCACAATTGGGTTAGTGGTACTGAGCGTGACCCAGGAACAAACAGGCGTGTGTGTTAGCAACAGACAGTGGCAGAAAACTAGTAAGCTTGTGATCAAGTAATGGTAGAGAAGATGGGCACTTTACCTTCAGAGCAATTTCAATGGTGAAAATGACAGTAAAAACTATATCAAAATAAAAGAGAATCTGTAAAAACAAAAGGGAATAGGAGTGGGGAGGGTAGATCAGTGACTGACCACTGGAATGGGAAATCACAATTCAAAATCAAATATACAAGGCTCTTAACAGGGGGACAAAGAGGAAAATATAGGAAATGGATTTGTAATGATGTCCTGTTGAATGCAGTGAAAGTCTTGGCACAGGAGACAAGAAGCACATTAAATGATGATCTTTTCTGAGTTAAAATCCCATGAGGGCTTTGGAGGCAAAACAAGCTCTTGGTTGTTGTAGGATTTTTTTCTTTTTTTTTAATTTGAATCTGATAAAGAACAGACAATTCAAGGGTTTTCCCAAATAGATTTCCAAACTGAGAATACAAGAATGTCTAGTCTCTCAGTGGAAAATATGCAGCTCCTTCTTATTAATTTCAGGGTTGTTCTGTGACTCTTGCAAAAGGAAGAAAAACAAACTGCAAATTGATGCACAGGGGCTGCTAGAGCTCTTTTTGTTTTTTTTTTTTTGTATTCTAACTTGCCCTGAGTTAGGATGAATAACAAATATGCACTCTGCCAATTGAACAGAATCACAACTTTCATCTTGGAGTCATAATTTGTTCATCCACTAAAGGTGCCTAGCTTAGATTTTGCATCTTTCCATTGGCATTCTGGGTAACAGGCCAGCTGAAAAACTCAACAGTCCCATGAACCTAGACTCCACAGTGGGCGTAACAGAGGCATATACAGCAAGCCACAAAATACGGCCACAGAATGTCACAGAAGGCAACAGCAAGTCTGGAAGTGTAACTTGACTTTCAAAGTAGCAGCATTAAGAACAGATATGTCTTTTACTGTGGACCAATTTACATCCCCCAGAAGCAAATGAGAGCTGTACTATTGACTAATGGGACCAGAACTGGACTCTTTTTTCCAGTGTATTCCAATATCCCAAACACTTTTGTTTTACCTACACTGCAAACAGTGAAAATCAAAAGTATCATTCTGCTGGATTGCTGTCCTCTTAGCTTAACCAAGTTGTAAACTGAATATTCATTACGTAGAAGCAGTAGAAACCTGGTCATTTGTTGAATTTAAGCCTTTACTGCTAAAACAGTAATAAGCATACAGCAGTAAACTGTCCTCCTCCACCAGGAAGATGTTATGCATCCCACAGGTCTTCACTGTATCTGGATGCTCTTGTCCTAACCCAGACTTCCAGGTTTACAAAGACTGGCTAGATTCTTACGGGTTGTTATGCCATGGGCAATGAGATAGCTACTGCACACTGTAGTGTTATTTTAGATTACACCATTTAAGCATGACCCAAATCTATCCCAATTCGCAGTCACTGAAAATCAATTAGGGACATGTATCACCTACTGTGACTGTGTAACTTAAAATTCCTCAAGTCACTCCTGAATTTTTGACTTCTGTAGGTGTTCTCACTCTTCAAGGCTAGTTTGGTCTCTGTAAATTTTTGCAACTTAGAGAACTAAAATTAGGGCCATTTCAAGGATGGACTGGCCTCAGTTGCATCCTATATTAATTTCCACACATTATAACTGGAAAAGTCCCTGTGCATTGCAGCCTGCTACGTCCCAACATTTGGTTATTATATCAATGGAATATGGAATATTATATCAATGGACTGCGTTGCATCACTTCACTGACATAAAGCAGCCATAAACTTGATTAAAGTGGATGATTAAGGTGGGTCTGTAGCTGTTTTACATTACCAGAGCACTGCAAAGCAGCTAGGCCATACTGGGGAATGTGGCCCCAAAGCTGCAGCTAGTAAAGACCTCCTGTATAGAAGAAATCAGGCCTGCTGGAAATGACTACAGATCACGTGTGCAGGCAGTATCATTTACCAGCAGGCATGTTTATTATCATCTAAATATGTATTTAATCCAGAATAAATTAAAATGAAAGAGCACCTTGCCAGAATGTGAACAGGAGAACATCGTGAGCATATAAAATTTTAGGTCTTGCTTGGGTTTTGAAGCTGTTTGTTTGATTGGATTGGAGAGACACTTCCAAAGACCTGCTGCCTGAGCTCTATACAATACAGGAGAGATGCAGCCACTAGCCCACCCCGGGAAAGAAGCAGCATCCAAGCCTCTTTGCTAGCCCTTGCCGGAGCAGGATCTCTCCGCTCTTGTCTCCCTGCTCTGGGATGGTTTGTGTCAACAGCGGAAACTAGTCTGCAAAAGTCCTTGTGCACAGGTTAATGCCTGAATATGTTGTCTCAGAGCGAGGGCAAGGACAGTTAGTTCGCTTGCACCTTTATTTCCTTCCCTCCCTCCTAGCCCTCTGAGTGGGCACAGGGCAGGACACTATCCTTGTGTTCTACTGTCAAGGCGTAAAGGCAGATTACATTTGCAACCCAAACATCTTGTCAGTGTCTGCTTGTATGATACATTTTAAACATCTGTACCTGCAAAAATTAAACACAGATTTTCATGCAACATCAGTGGGTTTAAATAGACAAGACAACACTTTGTCCCCGACCTCCAACACTTTATCCAGAACAACTAACTTTGACTATTTTTTTTTTCTCATTTAAATCTCTCTGCAATATACTCTTTGGCAGCTTCTGTGGCACATCAGAAGCCTATATGCCAGCTGACATCATTCTCTAGTGCTAAGATTGACATACATTTAGCTCTACGTGGTGGACCCACTCAGCTATGCACAAGTGGGTCATTGGTGGCACAGGTTTGATTGTTTTATTTAGCACCCTCCTTCAGGATAAAATGCAAAGCAGCTCTGAGATAAGCTCAGGAATAAATCTCCGTTATCGTCTTCTGTGCATATGCATATATGGGCCAGGATATTTCAGGGTAGGCAGAACACTGAGCGTTCAATTAGGGTTTTAATATTAAACAATAAATAAATTAGCCCAGTGTTCAAGTCTAGCAAGCTTTTCCAGAATTCAGGCAGAAAGATGCCAAAATGACGCTGCAGACAGCAGAGATCAGAAGTCTCACATATGACTGCTGACACTTCTGATTCCCGCAGTGACCCCAGATTAAGTGAAACAACCACTGGCAGACTTAGGAGGCCGCTGAACATTTCAAAAGGCTAATAGGAATGGCCAGAAAAGGAGAGAATGTATTTCTGTGCTGATCACCTTCCTCTCCTTCCCCTAGCCTGGTGAAGAGAGGAGGACGGCATATTTTCTGTGGCTTACCTCCAATTTACTTTGCCTCTTGCATTCAAACAGTATGAGTCTAACCTTAACGACATCGACTTTCCCCAGAGTGACTGCGCCAAACTAAAGACTGTTACTCCTGATTTAAAGTCGTGCAAACAAAGTAAGAATCATGCCCTGGGTTTTTTAGCTGTAAAAGACTTTTGCTTCAGTCTCCTGTCCTTTTCTAACAGATGCTGATGAAACGAAGTAGGGGCCAAATTCTGCACTGACTCATGCCCCCTGTAAAACCCAGTGATTTCACATTCACAAAGCCTATAAAAGGCACGAATCAGGGCAGAAAGTCACTCCAGAAGCCTCTGATGCAGTCTTTTCTGCCTTTCCTGGCTTTGGCCCATGATCTAGTTGTACCACACTCTTAACACACTGCAAGGGAAGGAGGATGGGAAGCATACTTGGTTCCTAAAGGAGAGGTGTCGGACGGGGTCCTCAGCTGCCAGGGATATGCTGCTGAGCAAGATGAAAAATAGGATCAGGTTGGTGAAAATGTTATCGTTAACGATTCGATGGCAGTGGACACGAAACCTGCAAGAGAGAGGAGAGGCACAACTTTATCTCTCAGAGAAAGGCAAGACATGGGAAACATTCCCCCCTCCTCTTTTGCCAGCAGGACTGGACCTGGAGGACTGCTCTGCAGAGCAGATTCGCTCTGCCCCAGCAGCAGGGAAAATCATGGCTCAGGCAGCTGTACTTGGCTCTGCTAGGTGCTGGGTTCCTTTGGCTCTCCATATCATGAGGTGATGCACAAGGTGTTATAGGCTGCCTCCAAGACTCGCATTTGGTGTATCTGAATGGAGAACAGCCAGCCTCTCCCGACAGAACCTTTCATGATTTAGAGGTGGTCTAAAATCTGCCAACCAGAAATTACATCACTTGCTTTCTTTCATCCTGAACTAGTTAGAGTAAAGCAGCAGAAACAGGCTTTGGAGTGGCTACTGTCCTTCTGAGCTGGCACTGCACAGTCACTGGGCAGGAGTCATGGGGGATCCACCTGCTAGCAGGGCACAAAACCCAGCAAAATGAATATAAGGCAGACTGGCTTCTGGGAAGGGCTTCTGGAAGGACAACATCATGCCACACAAGGAGTCTGCTAAAGTTCAGCCTAATATGAAGTGTTTGTTGCTCTTACGAGGAAACCAGCAGGTAAGCAGCAGTCTCCCATCAAATGGCAGTGTGCTTACTTGACACCATTAAAGCACCTTCCATACAATATCAGAGTATGAGGAGTTAAGCCTCATAACAGTCCTATGTATAATTCTAGAGGTACTTCCTTAGTCTATTTAGCTCTACTTTTGGCTGTTCAGCCTCCAAGCCCCTATTATACCAATTTTACAGACGATTGCAGAGGTTAATTTACTTTTTCAACAAGCAACAGTGGGTGGGTGACAAAGCTGTCTGTGAGATCCAATCATTGCCAGTCCCTCCCTGTTACATATATACGAAAAGAAGAGTGGCATAAGTCCTGCTGTGGAAAGACTTGTTCTAAATTCTGTTCTGTTTTTACAGCCCTGCCTTACTTCGGGGCTGTATTTGGAAGCACAGTCCCCAGGAAGAGGTTGGGACACATGGTATTGCACAGAGCATTGGGCAATGAGCTTATTTCTGCACCCTTGGAGAGATATATAAATTCCCTTCTGTGACAGCTCAATCCTCCACTCCCAGTACTCGTCTCACATATCTGTACTGAGGAGAGGGGTGGAGCAATGTGAAGCCACACTGCCTGTAGGAGCTTGAGGGAAGAGTGTGAGAGAAGAATGACTTTCCTCACCCTGCGCTGGGAGCTGTGGACTTTCCTCTTCCCTGTCCCATTTCCTGCATGCTCACTCTTGAAGGGTAGGAATAAGCAGAGACACAAGAACTCCCTACTGTGAATAGATTTTGAGCAGTCATTAGGTCAAGGGGTCCCACCTCATGCTTGACTGACTGCATGATGGCTTGTTTGAATTTGGACCTGTATATGTTGGGGAGTTCCAGTTGCTGACTTGCTTCAGAGTCCCTTATTTCGAAAGCTTTCATGATTTGTATTTTCAATCAGCCTTGCAGGTGCCCTGAACTCCCACTGAACAGGCATATTGTCAGAGGGCTCCCTACAGTCAGGCTTTCATGGAGATTTCATGCCAGGGCTTTTGAAGGGAAGATTGGTGAAAGGAGGTCTCTGGTATGAACTGCTGGAAGGGAGCTCCACAGCACATAACCTTTGGGACCCAAGGTCAAAGGGATACCTGTCTCTTTCTCCTGCTTCCAGCAGAGCAGCCTCTTAAATACCTGTTGTTAGGACTGAAGATGAAAAATGCGCTGGCATCAGGCATGGGCACAGCCTTTTCCTTGAGGTGCAGCTCCGACATCGGGCGAGGCCGAGGGCCAACTGGCATCTCAGGTTCTTCCTCATCTTCCTCTGCTGCAAGAAGCATTTCTATCTTTTAACGCAAAATACAACCCATTCTAGAGTGCTGAGGTATTTATCTCTATCAGAACTAGAGCTACACACTTAGGATCATCAAAATAGGAAGATGCATGCTCAAGGTTCCTTGTTCACTTCCCTTCTCCAAGGCAGCATCTGCTGCCCAGCACCCTTCCTGGCAGATATTGACCTAGTCTGTCTGTAAAACCATCAATGCTGGTAAGTCCACAACCTCCTCATAATGATCTCTTCAGAGGGTTCACTAACCCTTCTGCAAAAAAGCTTCTTCTAACGACTAACTTGAATCCTTCTTGCCGTTAACTACTGCCTTATTTTCCACGGACACAGAAAAGAGAAAATTCCCTTCTTTCAGCAGCCTTTTATATATGTGAGGTTTGTTATTATGTCTCTGCTAGGTTTTCTGGTTCCTAGAGTAAAACAATGTCAGTCTTTCCCGATGTGCTGTGTTCCCTAGACCTCTGATCATTCTTGCTATTTTCCGTTGGATTTTCTCTCATTTTCTCCCACAACTTTCTTGCAGTACCTGCAGTTTAGGTCCTACTGGTGCTGAGGGGAACTAGATTACTTCTATAATACTATTTTCCTGCTTGGATGTCCTTTTTGGCACTGCTTTTCATCACATCCTGACATTATTTTGCCATCAGTTTCAGATCTGTATAAAGCACAGATCCTTTTCATCAGAACTGCTGCCTAGCTTCTCATTCCCCACATTGGCGCATGCAGACTATTCCCAAGAGTGGCACTTTGAACTCATCATTATTGAACTGCATCTTATTTTCCTCAGATCGTTCCTCCAGTTTATCTAGATCTGCTTCTCTCCTCTTCCTCTGTGAGAGCGCTGCATGGAGCCATTGCCACATTTGGGGTTGTGCCTGAGTGAGTGCGTGTATGCCACAGAGCAAACATGGAGGACAGGCACTTTGTCTTAAACAATCAGAAATTCTTAAAATTGTCATTTTTCAGAATTCAGAAAAGAGAAGAATGAAAGGGCAGGTGACAAAGCTGAGACTTTTGAACCTGATGCCTATGAAGCAGGACTCTAGGCACTGTGCAGATCAGTGACTACCCTCAAGTAGTCACTCAAGGAAGAAAACACAGAGATGGTGGCTAAGGGCAATAGGAAAGGGCACCTTCCACTTTCGAGTTCTTCTCCTACCTGGTGATGTGAGATGCTGTTTTCTAAATAACATGATAGGATTTTGCTGTTTTAAAGTCTACAATCCTCATTTAATTAGCAAAACAAAAAGAAATATTTTAAGAAGGCAGCCTGACAGATTAGATGCAACTCATTCATCTTCCAGCTAAAGTAAAGAAAGAAACTCTAGTTAAAAGGTTTATCTGGACTCCATGGGGTAAGACAAATTCCAGAAAGAGCCCGTTCCTTTAGGGTCAGGTGCTATGCTCGGTCTGGTAAAGAACATATTAGAAAGAATGAATGAATTAGCACAGATCCTAATCTAGATATTAGAGATTTTCAATGCATGCCATTACTGCATGCAAAGAGGCTTCCCTCTGCACACTTCCAGTAGCAGGAATTCAGCTCAAATTCACTAGATAGATTTTTGGATAAATGTATGACCTGGTACAAGGACTTTGTACTTTTTAAGCAGGTCTATTTTTTAACAGCTCAATTTTCTTTTGCAATATACTTTATAATATTCTTTCTGCAGGCTTTATTGGTTTAATAAACATTCTTGCCGAAGTACTTCTGCGTACACTACTTGTAAAATTGGTGTTACTGTTAATGCTCATAATAACATAATAATTACAATACTTTGAGCTTGCATCTTATATCTACAGATTTTGAAGTGGGCTGGCAAACAGTGAGGGAGATAAGCACATCTTCTTTCTTCTTTAACAGTCTGGAATACCAGTGTCCCTGATTACTTAGAATATTTGAGAGCCCCCACTTAAAAGACCAGTGTTCTGATCCCAGTTCTGTGCCTTTACCATTAGATCACTGTTGAAACGTTGGAAACACTGAAAGATTTTCAACATTCCTGTTGAAAAAAAGCACTTTCAAATGGACATGGAACAATGCCTCAGAAAAATGGACTCTTAGCAGAAGGATCAGCCCTGTGAAGACCATAAAGAACACCGTTCCTCTTCTCTTCGTCTTGCGTCTGCCATAGAGCAAGAAATATATTAACAATTCTGGCAACCATCTAGCCTCAGACTGGAAAACACATTCAGTTTCTCAGCTGCGGAGAAAAATAATGTTCTAAATATTTTTCATTTAAAGTAGGGTCTAGGGCCCAGAAGAAGGGACAAGCTGAGAGACAAATACTCAAAGGGTAACACGGTTATAGCCTTAGCTCAGGCCACTACCTAAGCTATCTGTCAGTATAAAGAAACAATATGTTGCGTAGCTGCATGCATATAGCTGCAGCACGCACATAAGCAAAGGCCAACGCAGCATTCATAAATTGGCTGTGGAGCCCATCTGCTGCAATCCAATACTTGCTCTTTGGCTATTTTTTACACCTAAAGTATATTTGCCTTTAAAAAGTGACCCTTCTACTGAAGCCTGCCATGGAATCATAAAGAAACACGACTCAGAGCTGCCAGATTCAGAACTAGGTTTGAACTCTCCTGAAATTCAAGGAAATTCAAATCCAGGACTGTCATCTTAAATTATGCCTCATTAGAATGCTGATGTCCTTTGGTTGTGAACCCATAAGCACACACATGAGGCTACAGTGTAGCATCAGTTAGAAATGTGATGATGAGAATTTTTTTTCTTGTTATACAAAGACCAGAACTCTTGTGTAAGGGCATTACTTTGCTTCGAGCTCCCATGAATCATCCCAAGTTTGTACCTTCATCTGACATGCTGGATTCTTTGTCTGTTTCTGTACTAGACTGCAAGACTTGCTCCCTGTCTTCCTACAATAAACATATCATAATAAACCATCTAGTATACACAAAACTCTGGTAGGACTAGTCTTGCCTTCAAACAAAGGGGATAGGTAAACTGATGAGTTGCAAGTACCTGAAGGATTCTGGGGTATAAGAGCAGTACTGTATAGTACATAAAGTCAGATGAGATTCTGGAGAAAACTCTGGTTGAGGAAATGGAAACTAACAGGAGATTGGGTGGGGTAGGTTCGAAGAATAAAGGAAAAAATAAATGAAGTGACCATTTCAAATTGTTTTTGAATACTGAATTAGTGTGAAGGATTTTCAGAGGATAGAATGACACAGACATGGGAACGTCACTGGCATTTAAGACCTTAAATCATGAACTGAAAATTGGCAGAACCAGCTGTTTGCATCTAAGAAGCAATAGGCTGCTGCACACCAAGCACAGCTGAAATGCATCAACATGCAAGAAACGGGCAAGATAAGGTGTTGTCCCAGATGGACAGGATTTTGGTATGCAGCATCTCCTGCAGCACAGCTAGACTGATTAGCTAGAAGCAAAAGGACTTTGGAGTGGTCAGAGAGACACAAGAAAGTTGATAAAGGGACAGAGGTACACACCGGGACTGGGAAATTCTTCCTTGCTAATGCCAGGGGAAGCCTTGGAGCCTTGTTCCCCAGAACTGACTATCCAAGACAGATGCTACATGTCACACCAGCTCAGAGAGGGTCTTTGTTTTTCAGAGCTTTATACAGCAGAAAGGAATAGCTGACTATGGTACTTCTGATCTAATCAGGGATTTATAAAAATTTACACCGTGTGAACTTTACGATGAATTCCATGAGCTCTGAGAGAAGCGGTCAGTTAATGGCATGAGCTGTTAGCTCTCATTTTCAGCAAGGAACTAACACTTTCAGATGGTCTGAAAAGAGAAAAAGTAACTCCAGTCTTCACAAAGGTAGGAAAAACAGTTCTGGGAACAACCTGTTTAAAAACAGCATGATACAATGGCAAATTACCAAGATGCTGTCCCTTTGCACTGATAACTCTTCAGGAGACAGAGGATAACCTAAGCATTTGGAAAACGAAATATGTCAGGAAAACACAGATTCTTCATTCAGATTCTAGGTCAGCTTTAAAAGTATGCCAAGCCAGGGATTGGCACCTCAAAGCAGGAGGTTAGAAGTGCTTTTACTTAATTTTCTGCACTCTAGTCCTAGGTATGGCTGCAGATAAAACATCCCTAACATAAATTGTAGATGGTAGTTTTTGACATATAGTCTACACGCTGGGCTATTTCTCAGCCTGTCCATGAAAGGTAACTAAGAAAGCAATTCTATTATCAGTAGGCTTAAATTTGCCATACAGGCGGCTGCACCTTCACTTGAAAAAAAAAATGTAGAGGTTTGCAAATCAAAACCAGTTGAGAACCAGGACTAGAAATCTCTCAGGCTGTTTTAATATGTGCTTGTGACTAAAGACTCCACCAAACCCCTTGGCAACATATAATGGCTGTCCACTAAGTGCCCTGTGCCTACAGGGATGCTTGGAAGATTAAAGCCAGAGTACTCTCTCCCAGGCAAGATAAAACAGTATTGCATGGTGTTGGAATCACAGTCTATTCCTGATTAATAGGCTACAAATATGGATGAATACACGTGTAGCAAATGCAGGGGGTTTTGTACTGAAAATCAAATGCAAGGAACTGTTTTCCTTTCTGCTTGTCTGAAGCACTTGTCCGTCTATTTCAAATGAACTATTGTATCTTTTTTCACCCTATCAGAACAACCTATTTACAGACATTTAGTAAGAGAATGGGATTTATTACCTACTACAGACTGTTACATAATCACAGAAACACAAAAAAACAGAGCAGGAAAGGACCACAGAAGGCCCTCTAACTCATGCCTCTGCCAAGCCAGGCTCACCTAATTATTATATGTAAGTGTTTTCCGGCAGATATTTTCCTGATCTGTTCTTAACAACAGTTAGTGATGCTGTGCTTCCACCACCATCTTCACAATCTTTTCTGGCCTTACCATTAGAAAATTCTCTCCTAGTGTGATCTAGTCTGTAACTTCTCTTATTTGTAAAGGAGAAGGAGAAAAGATAACTCCCCTCCTATGTGTAACAGCCTTTTATGCACTTGAAGACATCTCTCTCCTACCTCAAACAAACACAGTTCTTTCAATCTGAGTTCCTGTTTCCCACTTCCATTGCTTTCACCACACTCCTCTAGACTCCTTCCAACTGAACCCCACTGCTCACAAGCACAGTTCCCAAATGAGACACAGTACTCCAGCTGAGATCTTCTTAATGGTGAGCAGAATAAAAAAATTGCTCTGCTCAGGTTAGCTTTCACTGGTCTGTTAGAAGTAACCCATAAATTGATTAAGAGTTCATGTTTTACCTGTTTATAAATTCACTACTTGTTTGCCTTTTGCAAAACAGTACCATGTTGTTGGCCTGTTGAGCTTGTAATCCCTAACAATATTCAGATTCTTTTCTCAAGGACTGATACCTAACTAGCTGACTAGCTGCCACCTAAAATGCTTTTTTTTTTTTTTTTTTTTTTTGTGAATTGTTTATTCCTGCCCATAGGTAGAGCCTTGCACTTTCAGCTTTTTTAAAACCATTTCTCCATTTCCTCAAGGTCTCTTTGAATTCTAATGCTGCCCCTTCAGCATGCTTCCAGCCCCTTGCAGCTTCATGTCATCTGCGAATGTAATAAGCATACTTCCTCTTCCATCATTCAGGTCATTAACACTGAACCCGGGACAGGCCCTCGGGTTGTAGAGCCTCACTTGAGCAACTACTCTCCACATAAATGGTCTGACTGATTTCTTTCCCAGTAATCTAGACCATGTTTTTCTAGCTGGCTTACAAGAATGTTGTAAGAGACAGAGTCACAAGCATTAGCAAAGGTAAAGCATATGACATCTACTTCTTCTCCGCCATCTAAAAGTCCTGTTGGCCCCTTTTAGAAGAAAATTAGAGAGGTTTGACATGATTTGTTCTTGGCAAATCTATGTTGGCTGCTAGTCATCTCTTATCTTGCGGCCATATAGTTTGTTTAAACATTTGTTTCAGCACTTTTCCAAGAATGGAAGTTTCACTGACTAGCTTATAATTCCTCTGCTCCATCCCCCTTTTAAAGATCCAGCCTTCAGGACTTTTCAGAGAAAAACTGCTAGAAGATTGTTTTAACCAGTTTTTCAAGATCTTAGGAGGAAGATAATTAGGTCCAACTGATTTGAAAACTAGTCTAATTCATGCTCTAGCTTGTTCTTTTCCTACTCTAAGCTAAGAGTGTGCATTTGGTATTGTATTAATAGGTCACATCATTGACTTTTTTGATTAAGAAAAAAAACTTGTGCAAAACAAGGCATTCAACACTTTGACCTTCATGAGTATCTGTTATGGGTTTTCCCTGAACACCGAGTACTGAAAAAATGGACTGAAAACATACATATAATCATATAACGGTTTCTTGACTTAGAAATAAATCAAATGCTGTTAATCGGTATAGGGACTGGAACGCACCAAGTTCAAACCCCCACAAACACAGGCAAGCACATATTCCTGCCCATAGGTAGAGCCTTGCACTTTCAGCTTTTTTAAAACCATTTCTCCATTTCCTCAAGGTCTCTTTGAATTCTAATGCTGCCCCTTCAGCATGCTTCCAGCCCCTTGCAGCTTCATGTCATCTGCGAATGTAATAAGCATACTTCCTCTTCCATCATTCAGGTCATTAACACTGAACCCGGGACAGGCCCTCGGGTTGTAGAGCCTCACTTGAGCAACTACTCTCCACATAAATGGTCTGACTGATTTCTTTCCCAGTAATCTAGACCATGTTTTTCTAGCTGGCTTACAAGAATGTTGTAAGAGACAGAGTCACAAGCATTAGCAAAGGTAAAGCATATGACATCTACTTCTTCTCCGCCATCTAAAAGTCCTGTTGGCCCCTTTTAGAAGAAAATTAGAGAGGTTTGACATGATTTGTTCTTGGCAAATCTATGTTGGCTGCTAGTCATCTCTTATCTTGCGGCCATATAGTTTGTTTAAACATTTGTTTCAGCACTTTTCCAAGAATGGAAGTTTCACTGACTAGCTTATAATTCCTCTGCTCCATCCCCCTTTTAAAGATCCAGCCTTCAGGACTTTTCAGAGAAAAACTGCTAGAAGATTGTTTTAACCAGTTTTTCAAGATCTTAGGAGGAAGATAATTAGGTCCAACTGATTTGAAAACTAGTCTAATTCATGCTCTAGCTTGTTCTTTTCCTACTCTAAGCTAAGAGTGTGCATTTGGTATTGTATTAATAGGTCACATCATTGACTTTTTTGATTAAGAAAAAAAACTTGTGCAAAACAAGGCATTCAACACTTTGACCTTCATGAGTATCTGTTATGGGTTTTCCCTGAACACCGAGTACTGAAAAAATGGACTGAAAACATACATATAATCATATAACGTGTGCTTGACGGAGAAATAAATCAAATGCTGTTAATCAGTATAGGGACTGGAACGCACCAAGTTCAAACCCCCACAAACACAGGCAAGCACATCATCTTGTCCCATCACGAAGGCATTACAAGCTCAGCACACCTGCTGCCTTTGGATTGTACCAGACGGAGCAATCTGGCTCTATGTGCATTAAACAACTGGAGCTTCTCTTTCCTGAATCAGGGATAAGAAGAAGCAGAGAAATACCTGGTGCTTCTGTTGTGGGATATGGGCTCTTCTCTTCATTTTCATTGGGCTGATAATCATCCATGTTGATCTGACAGAAATGGAAGGAGAAGAGGCAAAGCCTTTATCAGACAAGGCAGAGGTTTTTCATTCCCTCAGAAACCCAAGCTGTTCTTGCCATCACTGAACAGAGAGAGTGGTGGCTGGCAGCAGACCTTGGTAGCAGGCGGGGATTCTCCATCAGCAGTGATCGATTTCAGCTCAATTTTCTCCTCCTTTGTCTCCTCCTCCACAGCTGCTTTTTCTATCTCCTGTTTCTTCTCGGGACTAGCAGTCCTAACAATTTGACAAGGTAAAAAGCAAACAGTTACAAAAGGTGAAAAGCTGTTTCCCTTTCAGAAACTTCATGTAGTATAGCACACACTATGAGAACACTCAGCTGGCTGGCACGTCCATCCTGAGTGCAGCTTACATACCAGCGGGTTCCATCTTTTTATCATATGCAGACAAAGGCAAAGAATCTGCTCTAATTCTGTGTAGCATCCTTTTATTTTGTAGCTTTCTCACTGGCATGTACTTCTGTGTGTGTGAGTGTGGGCGGCAGACAGTATGTGCCTGTGTGTTTGTGCACATGCATATTCTAAGTCTGTGACCAGAGATCTCCTCTTCATTCACACAGTTCTACCCAATGTCAAAAGCACGAACTGTCTTCAACCCGTAGTTTGTGATCTTCCATTAGGTTGCCTACCAACTTTTCTGAGATCATAGTTTGCCCCTCGCCTCACTCCCAGAGCCATGGAAACCCTGCTGACTGCTGTGCAGGACAAAGCAGAACAATCTCCTCCAAACAGCCTGGAAGAGAGTGAATGGAATTAACGAGTAGGGAGAGGCTTCCCCACTTTTGGCAGCTGGGAATGAAAGAGAAGCTCTACACTCAGCTTACGCCTCCTATGAGTCTGCAGAAACACCAAGAAAACTGACAAGAGGAAAATAGGATGTGGCATCAAAAGAGAAAATAGGATGTGGCATCAAAAGAGAAAAAAGCAACTGAATCTTGTGTCATAGGAATGACAATCTGAGAACATGCCTTGTGGTCCAGAGCAATCAGAAGGTAATAGGGAGATTGAAATGGCATTGTCATACTGACACCATTTCACGCTCTTTCTCTGCAGACACCCTGAATGTTCATCAGTTACCCAGAGCTCCTTTCCTCTGCTCACATCATCACAACTGTGGGGACTCCCAACTCACAAGACCTTCTTGTCTTTTAGTTTTAATTCTTTTATTTAAAATATTATGAGCAATCAGAAGGTAATAGGGAGATTGAAATGGCATTGTCATACTGACACCATTTCACGCTCTTTCTCTGCAGACACCCTGAATGTTCATCAGTTACCCAGAGCTCCTTTCCTCTGCTCACATCATCACAACTGTGGGGACTCCCAACTCACAAGACCTTCTTGTCTTTTAGTTTTAATTCTTTTATTTAAAATATTATATGTAATTATTTATATTAAAAATATATAATTATATAATTCATATATATGTACTATATATATGTACAATATATATATACACACACTCCCAGAGAATTTATACATAACACACACGCATACCCACACATATATATGTGCATAATGTGTGTGTATACACACACACACACACACAAATGCATGAACATGAGTGTAGATATGTGTATACATATGGGTTTACCTAGCTAGTTTTTTCCTTTCTTTTTCCTCTTCCTCCTCTTTCTGTGCAGCTGTTAAACAAAAAAGGATATCTGTTTGTGTTCTACTTAAAGAAAATTGACTTTGAAAACCGCAGAACAACATTATACCAAGGGTGTCTTGATTGAGATGTTTTAGCAAGCTGTCATCAGATCGCCTGGATTTTCCAAACTTCCAATTCACACAAATGGTCAGGATATGCATATGCATAAACCCACACCTTCCATCCAAATGGCTAACACACTGTATGGGATTTCCAGAATGACTGATATAAAGCATCCAACTCCAGACTGAAACACTTATATTTTAGTTTCTGGTTTCTCAGAAGAGTTTCACTTAGTTCAGCAGATCCCATTGAGGATAAGGGGAATTGTGAATGCTTTGCCTCTTTGACCGCTCAGGCCATTTATATTAAAGCATCTAAGCATGCATTCAGTAACTCCATAATATTAGGTACCTAGGCTTCCCAGTTTTGGCCTATGTACTCAAGTTGAATAACCTCATTATAGGCACTCCCACAGACATGAGTGGATTCAACAGAGAGTGAGCATTTCTGAGGGGTTCCAAAGAGAAATTCCTTTGGAATTTGAAGCATTGAAGGGACAAGCTGGTAACTCTGCAATATGCCAGCAGAGAGCCCACGCATGGAAGCTGCATTATAAACCAGGTATGCATGTGCAGCTGAAGGGCAAGGAATCACAACTTCTTTCTTGTCTTGACAGTCAGTGTTCAGTTCGCCTGTTACAAATCTGAACATCTGTTTCTTCTACAAATTTATTGAGAGTAGGTCTTATTACACCATAATAACTTTCAAGTAAACTGCAGTTCAAGGCTTAGTCTGAAGTACAACCACCCATCTCCCTGGGCTCCAAGGTCTAATGGCTCCAAAGCTAGCCAGCGTGTGGAGAGGGCTCACCATCTTCCTCTGCACTTCACAGGGAAGTCCAAACTGTAGCTTTTTTTAAGCTGTCAGGCAGACTGCCTCACTCGACCTTCAGATAAGTGGAATTGCACCATCTCACTTTGAAGAGAGGGCATGCAGGTCAACTGAAATGTCAAATAACAGGGTTTGAGAGATCTGAATTATGAGGAAAGGCCAAAAGAGCTGGGCTGAGTCTACAAGGTGGCTTTATAGAAGAATCAGTATAAAGGAAATGTCACCTTTGACTCAGGAGGGCTATTTATTAGGGAAGAAGAAACTAAACATGAGCAAATCTGAAGCAAACTGAGATATGGAACAGAACCACAGTTGTATGTTACATGCAAATTCTTATGAAAAGACTCTCACGGCCTAAGCATACAATGTGCTTTGTACCTCCTGGGTTATGTACAGTGCCCTCACTTCACCTCAGAGCCACAGAGACTGAAATTACTTAACCCCAGCTCAGGCTAGCGGATAACAGAGCACGCAATTTTCTATTTGAAGAACACACAGACTGCAGTAAGTGAAATGGAACATGATTCCCATCAGTTTATACATGAATTAATACATAATCTCACATAAATCAATTATGTCAAATATATGTTACTCCTGTTACAGCATTTGTATATAGCATATTGTAGATTATATGTATTTTTGTTCCAGATAAGGTTTGGATGAAAGCATACGGAATATATTACTGACAAGACAATTAAAGCAAAAATATACAGTAAGTACAATACATAGACATAGAGATTACCTTCTGCAGAAGACAGAAAAGAAAAACTCATGGGGGAATTAAGGGGAAGAAAAAAATAAAAACACTAAACATGTAATGTTACTAAATAAAAGCTGGCATGCAGAACTGGCATGTAGTTGGCTCTTACAACTGTTTATGCGCCTGAAGTCTTAGCACTAGCTAAAATTAAACAATCTTGTTTAACTTTTGGCAGCTCAAAGCCAACATTCAGTCCTTGGGAAAAGGTAAAGACGTAAGGTATGAAATTCATTATTTACTGACATGACAAAGTAGTAAATAGTGGCTTTAAATTCAGCCCCACTTGGAGAAAAGAGTAGCATCAAAGGATACAATTTCCACAGATGAAGAGGATGATGAAGTAAATACAGACCAACATTCCTGGAAAAGAGGGGCCGCCATAAGCCATGATCCCATCATACATCACCGAATTCCAGTCCTCCCCAGTCAGGATCTAAATGACACATTCCCACCAATAAGGGATACAGTGTTAGACCAACAGAGAATTTGAAAAACCTATTAACATAAAGATATCTCTTACTGTTCCACAGATCACACCCTCCCCCAGGATGCTTGGGAACTCTGGATGTGTCCACCTAGCAAATTTAAAGAAAAAAAAGAAAGAGCATGCAAAGCAGGCTTGTGCTCTAAGAGATGTCCCCTTGAGGACTGGTGTTTGAAACCAAACAGCTCTGCAAGACAACTCTGTTCACATCTCCCCACCTTTTCCAGGTGTTTCCCTCCCACATGCCTGCTGTTTCAGACAGCCTGTGCAAACCACAGCACTGAAGATAGCAGTTAGTACACCCCTCCCTGCCACTTCTCTTCACCATGCATGTGCAGTCATGATCCTGATGCTCTTGACTGAAAACAGTAGTCAGCTTAAAGGGCATTTGATTTCTCCTCTAGTAATTCGGACACATATTTGCTCCTCAATACTGTGTGAGGGAAGAGCACAGCTGCAGGGTTAGGCTTTGGCTCACAGGTGCTACCCTGGGACATGGCAATGGCCATTCTCTTGTCATACCCTGCTAAGCACTGGAGGCCTTGCTACACATGGGGACTGCAGCTTTGGTTCCCAACCTTGGGAGGGAGAACCCCTGCTCTGATAGCACAGCATGCTGCCTTGCTCCTGGTGTTGTTAGCCTAATTTCCAGTCTCAGGGACTGAGAGTCTGCAGAGGGAGGGTGTAAGACCTGCTCTCTCTCTCTCACTGTAAGCACAATGTCTTGGCCTCATCAGGACCGCTCTTGCCCTTACCTGAAACACAGTGAGGAGGGACTGGGGGAAGTTGTCAAATGTACTCCTCCTAGTCTGCATCTCATCAAAGTTAAACTTGCCCCCAAAGAGCTGCATCCCCAGGAGTGAGAAGATGATAATGAAGAGGAAGAGAAGCAGCAACAGGGAGGCAATGGAGCGGACTGAGTTCAGGAGTGAAGCCACAAGGTTACTCAGAGAGTTCCAATATCTGGGAGAGAAAATAGAGGCAGTTAAAATTTCTTCACTCTTAAACAGGTGCTCACGGACTGCAGAGGATATTGGTTCAGACTGCTTTCTGCATATAAGCAGGCATTTCCAAACACCCTGTTAAGCAGTGAATCATCGATGTGGTTCCCTAAGATAATGAGACTTACTGCAGCTAATGAGTAATTTTACTACCACACGTGTACATACACAATTCCCTCCACCCCTCACCACATACACACACCAGGAAGATTATTGCAGCACTCTCCATCTAAGGCTCTGTAAATCTTTTATCAATATACGGTGATTAGTTCTTGCTGCTTCAGTGAGTTACATTCTAACCAACCTCATTACAACACTCACAGATGTTATGGTAGCCAGAATACCTCACTCCAGAGAATGGCCTGTAATAACTAACAAGAACAGATGGGGAAGCATTTCGGATGCAAATACAGACTTGTCCAAAATCTAGTGTGCGTAAGTATGCACTTGTGCTCACTCATGGATAGAGGTTGCTAAGCTTCTTGGGACTGGGAAGAATGAGAGAGATATTAAAGGTTCTCCTCCTCCTCCAGTGCTTGTTTTACACGGACCCTAGAAGAGAGACTCCAGATCTACACCCGTAAGGCCCTGAGTTGCCTTTACTCTTGGAAGAGCGCACCATCATGGCTTCTTGGGTATCAAACCCACTACACTTCCTCAGGCAGGCTGCAGAACAGGGCTTAGCGATGGGTTCAAAGACAGCTGGCCAAGAAACTTCCAGGATCCCCAGGGCACCAAGGCACCAGCTGATCACAATGACTAAAATCAATGGATATTCCTTCTATTCTCTGGGACTAACATAAATTTCTTGGATATGACTAAAGTGAAGGCTACTTAGACCAGCTGCTGAGAGAAGGACAAATGACTTGTGACCTCACAGAAAATGATAGAAAATTGTGACTTCTGCTTTCAGAACAGCTACCATTAAAGAGAGATAATGGCTAAGCCCTGCTCTCCCGCATGGCATTCAGACTTGTGCCTGGATCAGATTAATGCGTGATGCAGAGAAAGGATCTTCTTGCCCTTGTAGTCCCATCCTGGCATCAAAGAGACACCAGTAGCATGCTCTACCCCAGCAGGTGAGTTTTCTTGCTTTGCCAGCTTGTAGAGTAGCTGTCTATTGGAAAAAGGCAGCATTTTTCTAAACAATCCATCATATCACCCACGAAGCAACTTTCATTTTGATCTTCCTCTGCTCAATGGCTCCTTCCCTGCAGCTTAGTCTGTCATGACCACTCTTCTTAGATGCAGTTTTGAGCTGTCATCTTTCAAGCACCTCACTTTGAATGCACATTGCTAGCAAATTTTGACAGCTTGCACAGGTCAGCAAGCCAGTAGTGATCTCTGAGTCTTCCTTCTAGCACTAGCTCTTCCAGCCTCCATGCTTTGTGCTTCTCCCCAGCCAATGATGTTCTCCATTCCCTTCTTCCAAAGCCTGTAACAGTGGACCTTTCTTTCCTAAGGGACCCTAAATTTCTAGTCAAATTTTCCACAGAGACAGAAGTTCCACTTGAGAAGGATGGCAGACATGTCTAGCGCTCTCACTCCTCTGAGGAAGTCTGATCCTTCAAAATACAAACCTGTCTGTTCTGCAGGCAGTGTAGTCATTAGAGACAAAGGTTCTTAAAATTCTGGTTAAAATAATATTTCAAAAAACTCAGGGTAAAAAGAACGCTCTCCTTCTCCTATGGGAGACAGGAAAGTTAGAACGGCCCAATCACTTTACAAAGGTTAACAATCTGATCTGCAGAGGCACTCTGCCATGTCCTCTGAAGTTCAGCAACTAGTTCATTGCCAGGGGCTGAGCTTCAAAGAACTATGATGTTTTCCCTCCAGCCTAGCTTCAGCACTTCAGAGAAAACTAAAATGCTTTAAACTTTAACTACAATTAAAGAGAAGAGCAATGTAAAACTACAGAGTACAGGTAAGAGCATAGAAGCTGCAGGCTCTGTGCAACCAAACGTCCGCATTGAATGTGCAATGTAACAGCTGTCTGCATTTGCTTACACTTACAGCTCACATACTTTCATGCTTTGGGAGGAAGAGAAAGTGACATAGGAAAAGGGACAAATTTATTCCTGATGGAACTTCACTGGCTTTAGTAGTCTTACACCAGAAACTGACAGGGTCCTGAATATCACTCCAAGTCCTCCAACGTCAGCCAGAACACACATTTTCTAGGTCTCAATCTAGCAATGCCCTTAAGAGCACAGAGTAAAGCCATTACGAATGTGACTACTCTCAGTGACTTACTTAAAGCTTAAATGCTTAATTACCTCAAAACATAACTGCATAGACTTTTATCAGGTCAGCAGTTCTTACAAATACCTGAGATTCAGTTTCTTATGCAACATTCAAACTTTAAAGCAATTAACTAGGATGATCTAGTGATAAGATTCCTGCTATTTTATCTGTGCTCTGACTGCTAATTAGAAATACAGCACGATTAGAAAAGCAAACAAACCAATACAAAAAAAAAAAGAGAGAGAGAAAGAAAAAAGGAAAGGATAACGAGGGCTTTACTTGACTAAAAAGTGGAACTAACGAAAGTTTTATCTTAGTGTCCTAGAACCCTGACCTGAGGTTGCCATCTGTCCTATTATCTGGTTGCAGAACTAATACGAATACCCTTCTTAAAGCAAGATCTGGGGTGACTCAATGAAACACAAGACTTCTACACTGGGAATGAATGAAGCCCAGACAAACAAAAAGTCTCTGACTGCTCCACCCTTTTCTGTTAATATACTACAAAGGAAAAAAAAAACAGTTACAGTAAATCTCATGGCACTGCTGGATGGACTTAGAGATATTGGACCAGTCAGCATGTAAAGGGAGGTACAAGAGAAAGAACTGCTGCTTCCTCAGACTTCTAGGGAAATGAATGAGCTTCTTGACATCTCCCAATTGAGGATCTCAGGCCCTTGAAGATGTCAATGAATAAGTCACTGCAAAACTCCAGTGATTAGGACATGATTATGATCCTTGTTTCAAAAGAGAGGAGTAAGATGCAGAGAAGTTACATGGTTTGTTCAACGTCTCACGCCAAATTTAATTGCAGAATTGGATTAGAACCTAATGTATTCTCTTCCCTCTCCTCTTTATTGCCTTCCACTATGCTTTTATGAAACTGGCAGTCACAGATGCAGAGCTTAAAACAGTAGCAACAGCTGGCAGGCTCACTGTAGTAAAGCTTCTTACACTGCTTGTCCAGTATAACACCACTTTGAATGTAGGTGTAAGAAAGGGTGCCCTGTCTCTTCTCTCAACAGTTAACAGAGAGATATCCACAAACACTTAGTGGTGGGATTTGGGTTTAAAGTATCAACTTTCAGTTTTCTCTTGCAAACAAATTGATTTATCTTCAGTGTATAATGAAATAAATATAGGGATTTACAAAGCAGTAAGGGACTGCATATAAAGAGACAATCATTTGTCTTCTCTTAGCAAAGGAAGATTTTCTGGACAGCACTGTAAAAGTTAGGGAGAATAACATAAACAGATTATTTTGACTGCTTGCCTAATGCACAAGATGAAATAATTCTGAGAAGTACTTACAATCTTGAAAGAAATGTTTGTTCCTGAAATTCTGACTGTGGTTTCTAAAATGATGTGATGTGCATCTAATGATGTCTTTATTTGTTTCTATTATATTATGGAGCTGTATTCATGCTTTTCCTGTAAGTGTATCTTCTTGATGAAACCCAAAATTTGTTTATGCTTGATGCTTATCAGGGAAAAGCCACAAAAATACATAACACTAGGCTACCTACTGATATACACTTGCTAGAATAATTTCCCTGTTTTGTGCTTTTTTAAATCCCCCTGATTATCTCTATTTCCATCTCCACTACATGTCCACATGTCACTGCTTGTGAATACATATTTGTCATACAACTGTCATCCCTCCTACTCTTCTCACCTTTCCAGGATTGTATCCTTCTACATTATCATTGCCCTCAGGTGGCTTATTCTACCAATATTGATAATGTCAGTGACACTCAATTATCACTGTGTTTAGAGCTGAGTGAATAATGGAAAAAAATGTATTTTAGCAGAGAACATTGGAAGCAAAAGTTAAGTGTTAAGGCTAGAACATTCTCTCCTGCAGTCAGACACGAGCGGGCCTAAAGTACTGCTTGGAGGCTTTTGCTAGGGCCTTCCACATGAGGGTGAACTTCACCCACGGAGGGGAAAAATCATGAAGAAAATTAAAAAACACAGATAAATCTGAGACTACTGCAACCTACTTACCAATATTTTAGGAACAGGAAAGGAGGCAAAATCCGATTAATACATTATTCATTAGGAGTTATTCCTTAGCTCTTACTGTGCTTTACACATAGACCTCTGTACAAAATTACAGGATATACACTTCAGGTAACATTTACTTCCATGCAAAACTGTATTTTAGTTCTGCTGCAGGATGAAGACAAATGTAAGTAGTCCTATGGCTGGTTGGTTCCTACATTAAATTGCTGTCAGAAGCTTTTGGAATATTTGGATATTCCAACATGTAATCCTTTCTAAAATATTAGTGATATTCTCTTAGTATTTGCCTTTTCATTAGAGAATTCTCCTAGCTAGATTATTCACTTCATGTAGAAGTGGAGAAAAGTCTTGAAAAAACAATGACTTCTTCAGGATGCTGTGTTGAACCCTATGCTTTTGTAGCTATTGGTATGTTGCCCTGGTGTATCTGATTACTCAATGCCTGAAACAGCTACTGGTTTCCCCAGGAACAGGGCCTGGAACTCAGTGAGGATAGCTTTCAGACCCAAAGATCCAGAAAAAAAAGTCAGCAGACCAGAACTCTCCACTATTTCTAAAAGGGCAAAGATGTCTTTCTTGCTGGAAACATTCTTCTCTCTCCTACGATCGCTCTTCTACATAGACCATCTTTTTTCCTTTTAATAGTTGTAGGCTTGCTTTGGCCACTGTCTCTCAGATTGCAAACCGGTTTTCTGTCTCTCCATCTGACCCTGAAAACCATCCACCCTGCCAGAGAGTTCAGAAGCTTTAAGGGCAAATCTTGCATGATATTAGGATCAAAGTCTGTTGTTTTTTCTGCCTCACAACTCTGCCATCTTGACTGTCTTCCAGTTCTGGTCTTGTTGTGTTATGCTCTGTGTCTTTTATCTCAAGTTTGTCAGAAATTTCCTTTTGGGGCAATTTAAAGCGATTCTAGGGACATTTTCATAGCTGAGCCTGCAGAAAACTCACTCTTTCACCACCTCAGTCAAGCCTTTTATAAAGTGCTGACTGGCACCCACATAGGAAAAGGAAGGCCCAGTGCTGCGTTGGGGACCGCGTCGGCAGGTTTGTTTCAAGAGCTTCCATTTGGGTCAGTCAGAAACTGACCTCTCCTATCACCTCCCCTCAAGCTGAAAAACTCCTGCTAAATCCAACTGGTGTTTTGGAGGTGCCTGACTGAAGGAAGTGCCTATTATTTAATAGGCACTTTATGCCTATTAACTATTAGGAAGTGCCTTTATGCAGAGGAAATACATATAAGGAAAAGGAAAAAGAGGAAAGACTGGAGTCTGGAAATGTCTGGCTTCTTCATAGAACTGCTGCTGTCATGCTAGGCTCCTCTGAAGGAGGCGAAGGACTGGCAAAATCTTTTGCCTATAGCTGCTGGTGTTGACCCTATCTGTCTCTCAGGCCGCTGTTAAGTCCACTGCAGCTGGCATAGGTTCCTCACTCAAATTTTTTTGCTCAAAGCAGTCTTTCAGGCTCCTCTCTATCACCAGGGCAACGGAAAAGGTCACAAGGCTATCTGCTGTTTTATTTTCATTTTTTCTTTTGCAAGCAATCCTTAAAGCTTACGCTCAGCTCATATTATCCCCACAGATGTCAGTTAATTGACCTGTTTGGCATAAAGTGCCTCCAGCCCCCTTTGTCAGACGCTGCCCCAACCCTTACCACTCACATCAGGGACATTCAGTCTGTACAGGCCTCCCCATCCTGCACCAGCCTTCAGAAGATGAGGACCACGAACCTAGTACTCTTACTACCCGACTGATGGTACAAAAAGCAGAAAGACAAGCATGTGAGTGTCCTGTACCCATATATGTTGTGCATTGAGAAGTAGCCCTCCTTCATTTCCAGAGATGACCTCCAAGAAGCAAAAAGTACCTTGTGATTTTAAATATTCTTAGGAGTCGAACACATCTCAACACCGAAATGCCCAGCGGTGACATGATCTTTGTCTCAACCAGAATTGTTTCCAGGATTCCTCCACACACAATGAAACAGTCAAAACGGTTGAAGAGGGACACAAAATAGGCCTGTAGACCAAGGCTATACATCTTCAGCAGCATCTCTGCCGTGAAAAGAGCTAGCAGCACCTTATTGGCAGTGTCTCATGAAAAGCAAACAGAAACAAATTAATGAAACTTAATCAAAAGACCATCACAGCCAAACATCAACCCTTGCCTATGAGAAACCCCTTCTGGGAACAATCTGAAAGAGCAACATCATCTAAGCTTGGGTTGTAAAATGAACTTCAAAGTGTGGCCATCTCATTCACAGAAATGTTTTACAAAGATGCTTACAATGCTTCTTATGTACTGCACATACAGCTGTGATGTATTACACAACCTCCATGGCAGGAATGTGTCTTCCTGTGCACAACCTCCCATCACACTTGTCATCTGCAGATAACAGTGGGAACAGAAGAGCTGCTGTGATACCTACTGTTGCTTAATTAAGCCTTTCAGCTGCTCTTACCTCCAGTGAGGATTCAGCTGCTCTGCAGGCAGAGGATAACTTTACAAATCTTTCTTTCTTCCTCACCTCCTTTCTAACTAGAATTAGTTTTCAGGGGAAACCTTGGAGGACCGGTGGCTCCCAATAGCCATCCATACAATGGAAATCCAACTGCTGCAGATATATATGTAGCACAAGCTCCTGCTTTCACCCACACCCAGTGGAACACTGCCTTGTTTGGAAAGCAGGAAGCTATGCATTCCCAAAACCATCTTCTAATGTCGGCAGTTTTTTTGTTGTATAATTTAGTTTTTCCACAGACAGAGGACTATATTTGCAGCTGTGTGTACTTCTTTTTCACTATGCGGCCAGCTTAATGCATCAGCTCCTCCCCCATTCTCCTTTCTTGACACTGACAATATTAAGCAGAACCACCAGCCTCTCCTCACCTTGGACCTCAGTGAGCCAGTCTGGCTGGTTGTAGTGTTCAGAGGCAATGGTAAGAGTGTTGAGAAACACAAGGAAGATCACCAACCAGTAGAAAACATTGGACTTCACAGCAGCTCGGCACTTTCTTCTGCAGAATCTATTCCATCGGCGCCAGTAGCGGCTTGAAAAATTAGAAAAGAAAAATTACTTTTCAGACGGGGCTCCTTAGGCTATTGCAAATCTTTCTGTCAACTCTAGTCCTGATTCATTGTCCATGGGTGGTAGAGAATACCTGTAAAGTTCATCCTGAGAAATGTTCTTTAGTTTTTATCTGAGTTTGATAGTTTTGGTCATCCTTCCTTTAGCTATAGGAATAAAGTTAGCCCTAAGTCAATCTGAAATATTTAAGGATAAATGAACCTCTCAAGCAATGTCTTAATCCAATTAAGACATCCATCACCACTACCCTGAGAGGTCTTTTAGCCCAGTTCCCACAGAAATCATTATTCTTCTCGTATTTAATGCTTGTGGCCTGAAATGAGACCTGTCCCAGCATCAGGATAGTCAACGAAAAAATGTCCACTGTCTACCATGGACCTTTGGATAAAAACCTTGGAGAGATGAGGTCAAACAAAACCTCGAGAGGGTTTCTAGTATTCAGCAATGTTCAGCACCAGGCCCAATCTCAGGGCTAACTCTGAACAGAAACACAAAATTTAGGGGAGCTCAGCATCTCACCTTCATGCCTGGAACTAAGGATACCATTTGCTAATCAACAGACCTTTTTAAAGTTTGCTTTCCATGAACACATCCCCTTGTGTCACTGATTTCTGAGGGTAATTACTAACCACAGAAGATATTTAAAGCTAATTACACACCTCCTACTCTTCAGAATTTAACTTGCATAGCAACCAGTTTCCAGGCAACACTTGCCACTGTATAATAAATCTAATAGCTTTATATAGATATTATATACATACGTGTGTTCATGCATATGTGCACCTCTACAGATACAACACATATACAGAATAGTAAGAACAAAGTGGCAAATTGAGGAGAGAACTTCTATGGACTAATCTTCCCTTTGATATTATTTCCAGTGATAAATTGTCATTATGCTTGAGCTGAGGGTTCAGCATCTAGATAGACTAAAGCCAGGCAACGTGAATATTGCACGCTGGCCAAGAATTTTGCAGCAACATTTTAAAAGGTAATCAAATCCAACCCGTTTTTAGCTATTTAATTTGTAAAAGCATCTAGTCTAGGTAACATAAGTATTTAACCAGGGTTGTGCGTTTTGCAGTGGATTGGGGAAAAGAAATGGTCTTCCCAACATTCAAAAAAATGCTCCTAACACTTAGGCATTCATGTTGTCCTTAAATCATCACCATCCTCACACACCCGACTGTGCATTTGTGTACTAATTTGCATGCATATGATCATGGGATAATATAGGTGCTTTCTTGTGCTTACACCTACACAGTAATGCACGGACTGCAGGAATGTGATCACTTATGGAACTCTGTACATGTATGCATATGAATAGTATGTATGCATTATAGGGATTCCTGAATTTACATTATTGTTTATTACTTAGGTAAGCTGAAGGGCAGAATTACTCACTTGTTCCTGTTACTGTGAAAGTTAATTTACTTTTTTATAAAATTGACTTCAAATTCAGAGTTACAGAGGCAGCTGGGCTCCTACTGAAAAGGTAGAAATGTACTGGGATCACAACAAACAAGTACCATGAAGTCAGTCAGTCCTTCCAAAAGAAACACATGGATGATTAGCCTGAGACTGCTTCATCTTTTTAAGAGCTATAAGTCAACAGAGAACCAAACACCACCAGAAGAATTTCATGTCTCCCATGGTGAAATGAAGCATTCTACAAATAACTTGATGATGCAAAACCTCATCAGTTGAGAGATTTATAACCAAGTAGAACAGAATACTGGAACAGCGTAGAAAACAGAACCTTGAGCTGACAGGATGGATGCTGATGGACATAGTATCATTACGTAGTTGAACTTTTTTTTTCTTCTACTTTTATGTTTTATGGCTCAAGATGTGTAGGTAGCAATCAGATAGGCACTTCTGAGTGAAATGCTCTCAAGAACCCCTGTGCCTTACTCCAGCGTGAAACAGAGAAAAAGGATGTTGATTTTAGGTGGATGAGTAATCCCTGCCCCACAAATGCAGGAATAAATCATCACTTTACAAGGTAAGGGACAAAACAAGTGGAAATGAAGAAAAACATAAAAATCTGCTTTACTTACCTAAACTTAGATTTGGAGATCCGATGCCTGAAAGATAAGAATTGCCATTAATGTCTCTAAACCTGTCCCTTATCTCCCACGCTTTTAACAGTAATAGAAAGAAGCATAATTAAGCACAATTAATTTTTAATGGATGCTGCGTTCTTCTTGAATCCCTTTTAAGTCAATGCCCCTGACTTAGGGGCTAGGATCCTAGCCCCATCCTTTAGCCCCTAGGGATGGGGCTAGTATTCCCTGATACCTAAATCTTGTTGTTTCACTAGTCAGAAGCAGGAGTCATGCCATGCTGGGATTCTACCACCTTTGGACATCGGCGAAATAGTCCTTCTCTTGGGTAAAAGGTTATCCTAATGGTAGGGGTACTCTTCATCTGCCATCAAACATATTTTTCAAGTCTGACTCTTATTTTGGTCACTGGGTTTTGTTCTTATATTAAAATATGTATGACTTTATATATGCAGACTTGTTGCTTTCACACATCACTTCACTTTAGGATAGATAAGCACATTATAATACTATGGGGAAAATAATGTTGTGAGTTTTTTCAGCAATTCAGGCAAAAAGAGTATATGGTGGATATTTTCAGACTTGGATACTAACATTCATATATATTGTTATCTATGTAAAATGGTTTGGACTTATATGGGGCTGAACAATCGCAGATTCTGAGGCTTGCAATGGAATTTTGTGTGTTAAGCACTCCTGAATACTGGGCCATACTCCCATTGTACATGTTTAAATATCTAATTCAATGCAATCAAATTCATGCACCTCAATAGCCTCATTCGCCTTATATGTGAAGTCACAGGCAAAGCTGGAGTCAGAATCCTTTTCCCTAATCACTGTGTTACACTGCTTGATATACTTACTACAGGACCTTTGTACTCTTTGGCTGTCTCTTAGTAGGTACACATTGGTTCATAGAGAGACATACAGTTTTGTGGACGCAGTGGCATGAGTCTGTGGTGATTTAGGAAGCTACAAAAAATCCACCACCAATAACAAAAGAAATGAGAACCTGGGGAGTGACTATCAATGAGATATTTCTGCTGTGCTGAAGTATTTCTTAAGGTTCCCTCTATGACAGGAAAGTGATTCATTGTTGACAACAGTCAGAAAAGGTCTCCCTTACCGGCTTAAAAATGGATTTGCTGTTAGCAGACATTGGAGAAAGTAATTTCCAAACATCCAACGCTACTTTCTGTAGCAATGTTAAAAATGGTCATGTCCCTGTCTGAGGACATCAGCTGCTGACAAGTAATCAGTGATGGGTCAGTTTCTTTATGCCGAGGAGATTTTAGTGATAGGAACATTTCACCAGCAGATGGTCCAAGCCAAAAAAAAAGGCCTCTGCACTGAATACATCTTTCCTGCTGTGTCACCGGCAGCTTGTCTAGGCCACATACTAGGCAGCAGTGTGGTTACAGACACACACAAGAACTCTTTCAATAAAGAAGAAATAACGCAGCAGCTGAACGGAATACTAAATTATGTTGCAGAGACAATGCAAGCTTTAACAAGCATAGCTAGCAAAGCATCTACAGAGCATATCCTTCATGTTAAGACTATCCCAACGGTCTCACTGAGAAGTCTTGCTTGAAATACCTTACCTACCAACTGTAATAGATCAGATACACAGGCAACTGAAAAGAAGGATCAGGCAAAGCCAGGAAAAAGAGTTAAAAAATAGGATGAAAGAAAAAGGTGGGCACTGAAAAGGATATAGCGAGGATATTCATAGGAAAAGGTTCGAGGTGAGACAAAGAGAGAGATATGTCATGGAGGACCTGACCGGTGGAAGGGGAAGGACATGGAGTGAGAATTCCTCTGATGACCTCGTGGGCTGAAGGTTTCCCAGTAAGGGAGCTGTGTGACATTTAAGGAAACTTTTTATTTATTTTAGCAAAAGAGATGCAGCAGGTGTAGTACTCATCATGCATGTGATAATTATATCTTTGGAGCATTATGAGCTGCAGCCAAGCGCCTTCACTGCTCCGACAGGTTGGCTAATAAGTTCCCCCTCCACCCCGAGCTTCTGATGCCTTACTGCTCAGGCAGAAGGCTTTATCACATGTGGGTGTGCTATATATATATAGAACAGGACAAGGAAGGAGGAAGAGATTTATATTTAGAGGCAGAATCCAAGAGTGAAACAGAATTTTGGAAACATGAATTGTACAATAATTGTTTCTGCAAATATTATATTCCAATCTGAAACACACTTTTCAAATGACCCTTATCATCAACAATCTTTTGTCTTTGAGAACGCAGTGAACTACGCCATATATAAACATGCTCTTATGCCATTGCTAGGAGCTGTCAAAAAGTCTGGATTTGGGGCCTTGCTGTGGCCTCTTTGTGACACCCAACATTTGTTCTTGCCAGGGATTCATGGTGGACCAGTTTCTATGTTGGTGAGTTTAACTACTGATCTCCTGCAGCCCTTATATCCTGGGAGCTTTATGTCTCTGGATGAAAGAGAGCTTCCCCAGTTGTTGCGTCCAGCTCTGGAATGTCTTGAGAAATTGTATTTTAAATTCATGGTATTGGAACCTATATGAAATCCATTTCAGATCACTACTGAGTGAGTAGGTTCTTTTATCATAAGAACCATGTAACTCAGATTATCTTTTAGAAAGACAAACAGAAAAAACAGTCCTTTACTGTTTGACTAATTCTCTAGACTTCTTCTAACCTTACATAGCTATTCACCAAATACAGCTAAGACAGTGAAATTTAAAGACTTCATCACATAAACTCAGGACATTCAGCATAATTCAAATGTAGTGAGTTATCTCATATTCTTACAGATAAAGTCTTCATTTCTCTGGTCATGGCATACACCAGAGAAGAGCAACCAGGCACTTGCAAAGGGTGTGCCAACCTTTTGTAACAGAGATTGAGGACTTTGTTATAATTGTACACACAACAAACAGAAATCCGGAAAAATCTTGCAGGTCTCCCAACATGACACAAAAGCCATGCTACAGTTGTTTTCTGGATATAGATATTACTATATGTGACCATGCAATTACTTGGCATGCTGGTCACAACTACATTTACACTGTATTACTCCTCGTAGCAATTATCTTCATGAAAACTTGCAAAATCCCTTGGATTCTACTAAAAGCTCTGAGAACAGCAGTGACAGAAATTCACTTACTATGCCTCTGGGTTATAACAACTTTGGAGATATAATGTCACACCCAAGGAGTTGCATTATGCGGATCAGAGATTTTAGAACTGTGAGAACATAGTCCTGTTGTGATATTGATTCTGCTTTGGTGCTATATGGTGAATTCCCGCTGTTACTGGTCAAGATGCACAACAAGTCTTTGGAAAGCACTTTTTCCCTGCCTCCCTGCTGATGGAGGTTCATTCCATTGCTTCTAGTCAGGACGCTGGAATCCTTGAAAAGATGGCCACCCAGGGTCCTCTTTCACACATTCCTGGGACAAGAATGTACAGTGATATGACATTTTTGGGAATGCAAGCTGCATTCCTGGTAATCTCTCAGCCTAACAAAGCATTAGGGCTAAATTCTACCCTCAGGTATATCTCTGAGAATCAGTGTGAAGCACCAGCTATCCTCTGTGCAATGCAGGTAACACCGGACAGTTGTGTGCACAAGCACCAAAGAGCATGCTGATCTGAATGGAGTGACGCAAGTTAGGAGAGATGGGGTTGCTGGCCAGCAGCAATAAGAATCTACAGAACATCCCTAAGAAAACTGGATCTGTCCCACCAAAAATTGAGGCCGCTTGCTATTCAACAGGCTTTCTTACAGGCTAGGAAAATAACACAACACTCCAGAATCTAGTGCATAATCCCGCTCTCTCTGTGGCAAGTCACAGGTAAGGCCTCTCAGAATTTGAAGTAGAAAGAAAATTCCTCCTCCACATGGGCATGCTATTGTCCTTTAGACAAATATCGAGGGCTGACTGTGAATATCAAAAACACCATGCCTATAATAAATGGAAGAGCAGTAGCTGAGGCTGACACAGGAGCTGATCCTGTGTGTTTTACTGCTGAAGTGGGGACTTTGGTGTTCACAGAGGGAGGCTATCTTCTCATTAGGAGAAAACCAGCAGCAACAGTAGTGAATGACAAACCTGTAAGCAAACTGACTCTTTCCTCTTCACCACCAGCTCCCATGCTGATTGTTGCAAGAGCTGCATAGGAATTATTTTGCCAGCCAGAAAAGCAACAAGGGAAAAATCACTGATGGTTCCGTTGCCAGGGAAAGCTTTCATTGTTCACAGGATGTTCAGGACACTGTGTTTTCAGTTGGAAAGTTCATACTGTTTTATCTTATTTTAACTCTCTTTGGTGGAAAAGCATTTGAACTGTCTCCCAAACGTATGGAAAACCTGGCCAAGGTGAAAACACCAAGTGGCTTATTGTTTTAGTGAAAGCAGATCATTTTAAGCTCTTTCCTTTTGAGCTCAAGTGCTTCAGTTTTCTAATGTGGCTCCACGGACCATCAGTTTCCACAAATGTCTTTCTTTAGCTTATACATATGCATAAAGGTAAGTTCTATTGTGGCACTTCAGATCTGTGTGGTTGTATTAGAAAATTAACATTCTCGTTGTACTGGGAGATTATATACAGTGACAGCCTGCATAGAATAGGTTAGTATCGATTATAGGCAACAGCCTGTCCTCAGTAATCCAAGATCCAAATCCAAGATCCAAGCAGTAACCACAGAGGCTCAAAGGAACTACTCTCTGTTGGGAAGTCCTGGGTATAAGGCTATCCTGTATATAGAAACCCATTGTTCCTAGGTCTGGGCTTATTCTACTGATATTTGTTGTAGAGGAAACATATTTCGTTGTACCAGTGACAACAGGGTATTAAAGCTGTGACATGCAAGAAGTAAATTAAAGTTCCGCTTACGAATGTTGTCCTTGAGGATAAAAGCTGTTGCATTTCTAGTACAGGGCAGATGTCTGTGCAGTACAAGGCAACATCATGACAGGCATGATATAGTGTGGAAGTTGTGGGATGCTTTTCAGTGTCCTGCAGAACCCTGCAAAACCCTTTTCAAATGCACATTCCTGAAGCCTGATAAAGCTAATACCTATCTTAGGAAAGGAACTACTGTCTGCTGCAGCTCTCCCAATGGCAGCAGCATTACACCAGGGACAAACATGAAAGAGGGCTTTTTTTGTTTAGTTCTAAGAAACTGGATTTACACAACAAGCCAACAGAGAAGCCCTTTTAGATTCCTCTTGAAACTCCTTCTGCTGGTTTGAAGGCTGGCATTGCTCCAGAAGGCACAGCTGATGAAGGCAGTTTCTATAGTATAGATACTATAGAAATAAAAGCTTCTTTGGAGACAACTCATCAGTAGGAGATAGCTTGTGTTTGAGAGGTACTCTCCTGATCTCACATAGCATATGTGTCTATGGAGCTGAGAAAGGCTGTCGGGGAGATCTCCAATTCCAAAAGAGATGCTTGAGCTTAGCTTCTCAAGCAGATCTTCCTGTCATTCACAGACCCTTTCAAAGCTCTACAGCTTTGTATAAGAACAGAAAGAACTGCCAATAATTCTAAGTTTCCTTCAATATAAGTATTTTTTTCTTTTAGATGCCTGGTGATTTTTTCCTTTTGTCATGCGCACATTCTGATGGCAAGGTCAGCCTGTCACTGTGATGGGGTTAAATGCCCTTCCAGCCTGATGCCACTAAATAAATAAATATATTACCTTTGACTTGAAATCTCCCTGTTGCTTCAGTCATGTCTGGTTGCAGCTTGCCCAGTGCAGACTCTGCCCTCTGGGAAAAAATGTGTTTATAGCAAGACAATGGGGACTCATGGCCACTAGGTGATTTTAGCAGGCTGGTAAAATGAAGATTCGTCTGCAATACATGAAACTCAACAATCCACCAAAAAACTTGTCTAGCCATTTCAACTGTAAAAACAAAATCCAGAGGGCAGATGACTGCTCAAAAGTCCAGGCCTAATCTTTAGTTAGAGTAAGTCAGGATGGCTTGACTACAATTACTAATGCTCAGTGAAAGTTATCAATACTAGATGAGGAAATTATTTGAAAAGCTCAGGCAACTTCACACAAGAATTATTCCTATTCTTCAGCAGTGTTGAAATTACCAGAATCACTGGGCCAGATTCTCATGTTTTTAGTTAGGTTCCACACAAGGAAAACACTCATTCAAGGCAATTTTAAAATCTTTGCTTGCATTTTATATTTGCTTACAGGAGGTTTAATTGAAGGGTCAGTGAGAAGAAGAGGACTTAATACTTCCTGAAAAAGGCAAGTTCTCCCTGGTTTCTCTGCCTGAGTGTGTAATATAGTAAATAAAACAAACCAGAGAGGAGTCCAAGCCTCAAAATTCAGGGAAGATTTGAATTTACCCTTCCTTGAGGAATTTTAAGCTCCACAGATTTGAAGCAGACACTTTATAAAGGCAGGAACCATTGGCAAAATTTGTGTCTCAGTCCAGACTTTCAAACACAATGATACAGCAATTCATTTTCCTGGTTGGAAGGAGCCCATCCATCTTTTTGAGATGAAAAGCAATCGCAGTGGGGCCTTGAGAATTCAGACTGTCCTTGTGAAAGGAGTAAAAAAAACCCTTCTCAATAACAGACTTCAATTCCCTACTATGTTACCTATTTTTGAATGAAGTGGCAAGTGGCAAGGAAACCGTCTATCTCCCTGAACCTTACATGTCCTGCTCTGATGAAACATAGAGTAGCAAGGTAGATGGTTACAGTGATCACTGTGCCAGACCACAGTACTGTCGTTCTCTTGTGGACACATTGGTCTATATTAAGTAAACTCTGTTGTAAGCCATGAGTATGTTCAGAGTTGGGTTTAACTTCAGCTGTCCTGGCCACATTACAGTTAAGATAATTATGTTCTGCTTGCCAAAATTCCCCATGCAGTTTCAGTGCAAAATAAGCCATCCTTCATACACCTCCTTACACATTTGTGCCTTTTCTCCTTATGTTTTTAAATACTTGTCACATTTTCCCCTGAAGGTGGCTGAACTCTAACGCTGTGAAAACAAACCCTGCATATACAGTCCATAACAAACCCTTCATATACAGTCCATAAAGTGCTTTAGGATCTTTTGGGATTAAGGACATTAAATGAATATAAGCTGTAATATTAAAAATATATGCAACTTTATAGTAACAGTTGCCATTGTTGTTGGCACTGTGCAGCACCAGGGGACCCACTGTATTAGGCGCTATAACTGAATAATAGACATGGTTCTCCAAACTGGATCCAGCTGAAGGAACTGGTCACATACCCAGCTGCTGCTTCCCATAATGCCACAAGAGCACATGCAACTTGGTGGGGTGCTAATAGGAGGGCTACAACTGCCTTAGCACTGTGAATAGGTCTAGTCTACTTCCTTTAGAAAAGAGTTCATAATCTAAACCATAATGCCAGACTCAGCAGGTAGACAACAGCAGGCAGGTGAAGGAAAGCTATCATAAATAATTTCTCATGGGGTTTGTAAGCCACTCGCTGACACTTGCAGCACAGCAGATAGATTGAATTTACAATATATTCCACATATCATATCTTGTAATGCAGATCTCCTTCTCTTCTTCAGTTTATAGAGGAGAAGGCCAAGGCAGTGTGGAGGAGATACAATCAAGGCTTACAAAGTCACGAAAGTGATGGATAAGCTGAATGCAGAACTGTTGTTCACCAAAACTCACAGTATTAGAAGGAGAAGGTGTTCACTGAAACTAGTAGGAGATCAGCTTAAAACAGATACAAGAAAATGCTTTTCTACACAGTAGGTAGTGAACTTTTGAAACTTGTTTCCGCAGGAGGTTGTGGGGGCAGACAGCATCAGCAGAATCAGATAAAGTCATGGACAACAGGTCCATAGATGGCTGCTAAAGGGAATAGGCATAAGTGTGCCCTCTAACATCTCTAATCTAATAACTGTGAATTTGGGGGCAGTAAAAGGGGAATGGAACACAGGAAATGTCCAGGCTCCTGCACTTGCCCTCCTGTCATTGCCAGGACTTGAACACTGGGCCAGCTGGACCACAGGTTTGACCAAAGACATTTCTTATCTACTTATCAGCAGCTGACCAGCACTGAAGGGCTCCAAGTATGCCCCAGGGACAAAACAGAGCCTCAGCGTACTCCAGCATGGTGCAAGCAATAGTAGCAATGTGCTTAGTCTATTTTCCAAGGAAATTCGGAGGGGTTAATATATTCTCCCAAAGGTCTATGCTTGTTTAAGTCATGCAAGTCCTCTTGCCTATGCCTTTTCTCTGTGGTGCTAAAAAATCATACCATAAAGTATAAACACTTCCATAAGTGCTTTTTCACACATTCTTGTGCGTCCAGTACATATGATGGCACAATTACAAGGAGGCATTACCCCCTGCCAGCTGATGTATGCTTCGTCACTATAGTGGCGTGTTCAGAACTTGAAAGGGGTAGTTTGGACTGCAGGATGGGACTTATCATCAGTGTTAGTTTCTATTACTAGACTCTGTAAAATGCACAAGAATCATTAGAGAAATTAAAATAGAACAGTTATTTCCACTCTTTGGTCTACATATGCTGGATTTGATTATCAATCACTAAAGAGGAATTTTAAAATAAGAACAGTTTTCCATCAGTTACTCTTTTAGCTATTATGCAAAATCAGCTCTGCTTATCCTGGGAATTCTGTGCTTTACTTATATCTATATAATCCCAGAGTCTCTCCGCTAAGATCCAGAGTGAATTTACATCGCAATTAAGGTAAGAAAAGGGATCAATAGATCTTCTCCCCTCTTTCCTTTCTCTCATTGTGTGGTTTCCTCCCCCTTAAAAAGCCTGAAATTTGCCCTGGTTTTAACCCACCCAGCTCAATCCAGCCCCTGCATACACATATCTGTTTATATGTACTCACGCTAGCCTAGCACCGCAGTTTTCGCCTTCAATATCTGCTCCAGGGACGTTGTCTGTGTTCACGGACTCAGTCTCACTGGTGGGCATGCTCACTGTAAGAGTTGAAGGGAAGAAAAAGAAAGGGTTGGCCATTAGAACCCAATACACCTATTAGCAAAATGTGGCAGTGAAGGAACTGGCTTAATGAAAAGATCCTCAGCTGTAGCTCTTGAGCAGTAAGCAATTTGCTGAGCAAAAAGGAGCTTAAGAACACATATAAGTTACCCAAATGCTAAAGAAAGGGAAAGAAGCAGCTGCTCTCTTTCTTTGAGAGTCTGTTCCTGAAAATTTGAAAAATAAGAACCACTGAAAATTAGGGAACCTGGCAAAACCAACAAAGAAGTTTTTGTTTGACTCAGTGGAACACTTAAAAAATATTCCTTTACTTGTGCCAGCCAAACCACCTCACTGCCCTTCCCAGCCTCTTTTGTGATGAGTAGAGTACGAATAAAAAGTACCAGATTGACAGGTATTCAGAAAAGTCTTCTGTTTAGCCTGAAAGTAAAAGTACTCCATAAATAATACTGCTGGCTCATCTGCCACATACTACCATTAATGTGCTTCAACCTTACACTTAGAAACTGGACATATAGGAATAAGAGGGGAGTTCAGACTTTCTGACCTATTCAGATATACCAACAAAAGAATCATAGTGGAGGTTTTGTGTAGATACCCATGAACTAAGAACCAGGAAGAGTCTCCTAGGCTTTTACAGAAATGTCATGGAATAGCCACCAAATGAAAGCAATCCTTGCTCTGGACCTATCTCATCCAATTTCAAAGAGCTGTCACATATCCTATGTGTTATCAAACGTTGAATATTTGCTCTTATATATATTATAAAACCCTCACAATTATATATATTATAAAACCCTCACAATTCCCATTCCACCAGTCGCTCCCAGGTCTCCTATACACTGTGTGCTGAGCTGTAATAACTCCTTAATATAAAACCATTCCACACAGAGTAGGACAAAGGA